AAAAGCTTACGGTTATAATTACGCGGCTATTTTGTCGACGGGAAAAAGCGCTAAATTGGATTAAAAAATTGGACCCGAAAATAACGGTGCTAAAAAAATGGAAAAAAAAATAATACAACCACGTTACGGTAATTAAAAAAAGCGCTAAAATTAATAAAAAATAGCCCAACGAAAAATTTTTAAACCTTTACCGCAACCTTTACAAAACCCAAAGCTTGTTATTGGTTTAGCTAAAAACGGAAAGGCTAAAGCTTTAGGGCTATTTAATTTTCCGGAAAGTTCCCGGCGTAATTGCAACGTATTAATACGGTTAAAACCCGGAAATGGTAGCATACGTACTATTACATTGCCCGAATTTGCGAAAACAAAAAAGAAAAATTTTTTAAACAATAAAAAAAGCGGCAAAATTTTTATTAAATTAGCCAAACGAAGCAACAATCGTTACAAAATGGTTTATAAAAATAAAACGGTTCCTTAATTACGTTTTGTCGAACGATATTATCGATACGTAAGCGGAAAAAGCGAAAAAAAAAATAAAAATAAAAAAACGTTAAACGCCGCGACGAAACGGCGAATTCGGAAAGGAAATAAAAGGCTTAACCGCCCCGGTTCCAAAAAGCTAAACTTACATTAAACCTTATCGAAAAAACCTTTTAATAACTTTATTAATTATTAATAACATTACATACCAATAAATAAAATAACGCAGCTTTTTATTTTAACGCTAAAAAGCGGGAATTTATTTACGCCCGTAAAAGCGGGTCGCCGCAAATTGTTTTTAAAATTCCAAATATAAAAAATCCGAACCGCCGGGTATATAACGCTTAAACGGCCATATTATTGCTTTTATCCTTAAAACCGAAATCGAATTCGTTAGGATTGCGGGAAAGCGCTTAGGAAAAGGAAAGGAATGCAGCAACGGCTGCCTTTTTAATTGTTACCCCGGGCGCCGCCAACACCCCTTTTACCGCCCCCGTCGCCGCCGCAATAACCCTAGCTAAACCCGCAACCTTACTTTAACCAAATTTATTAATAAGCTAAAAACCAACCGCATCGTCCTTTTTTTTAAGCTTAGCCGCGGAATTACCAATTACCGAAAAAAAGCTATTCGTTATTTTATTATTTTTACCGTTACCGTTGCCGTTACTAATTTGCAAAAAATCGGTAAAAATAACTTTTTCGAAATATTCGTTATAGCAATTAAAAAATTCGGTAATATCGTTGTAAAATTAAACGTAAATATTCCGACGAAATCGAACGTTCCGCGTATAAGCTTTAACGTAATTTATTAACGTAAAATCGCTAAGCCCGTTACGTTTAGCTTAAAAATAATTAAAAGCAATATTAAATATAAAAAACATTTTAATAAAAATGTCGGCAATAATAATATTGCGGCGAATTTTAATTCCGGGGTTTCCCGCAAAGTAACGGAAAAGCTTTACCGGGGCCGGGGTATCGTTTAGGAAATACGCTTTGCAAACGGCTTTAAATTCGGCGTAAGCGCGGCGTTCGTATTAAAAAAGCCAAGCTTTTTAATTTTGTTTAAAGTATTAACGACGCACCGGGGACGTAAAAAATACGATAAAGCAAAAAAAAAATTTATAGCCTTTATTTTGCCCGTAAAGTTAAACGCTTAAGCGTAATGCTTTTTACGGTTCGTAAAGTTATTGTTGGCAATAAAAGCAAAACTTACGGATTTAAACTTTTTTGCGGCGTTAAATATACGTTAGCCCGATTCCAAAACGCCCTTTTTTAGCGCAAAAATGCATTGTCCGTTTTTGCTAGCCTTTTTTTTTAAATAATAATATATACATTTTTTCGATTTAAAATTTAAACCGAAATAATATATTAGCAAAATATCCGGAAAAATAAAATTAAAAAAAACGACGAAAAAAATTTATTAAAATTTTGTATGCAAATTTTGTTAAGGTTAATTTTGCGGGTTATTATGCGCATGCACGTAATGCAATTGGTTAAACCGTTAAAAATATTGGGATGGGTTAACGGGAAATTGTAAAAATATAAAAAAAACCACATACAAACGACGGGCTTTGCGCTTTTTGGAATCGCCCGTTATTTCGAAAAAAGGTAAAGCAGGCCTTTTCGTACCACCCTTTTTTTTAAGCGTTATAATACGATCGCGAACCGCGGGAAACCGAAACGGAATATTAGCAAAGCGCTAAAAATATACGGTTTTACAATTAAACGTTAAATGGGCTGCAAAATAACGAAAGCTAAAAAAAAAAACTTACAACGGTTATTGCTATTGCTATTTTGCGATTGCTAATAGTATTTTTTGGTAAAATCGCGTAAAGGATTAAAAAAAAAAAGGCGGAAAAGGCCGCAATATATTAACCCATTTGCTAAAGTTAATAAAAAAGGAAAAAGCGACGGGAAAGCTTTAAATTGGCACGGAAACGTGCATTTAACGACGCGATTTAAATGCAACAAACGAACCGACCTCCGACCGGACCACAATATTTTGCTTCGAACAATAACAACTTTTTTTTTTACCGAACGTTTGGAAATGCGGAAAATACCTTACAAACAATTATTTACGAAAACGACGCGAAATAAAAAATACTTCGAAAAAAAAAAGTTTTTACCCGGCTTTACACCAAATAGCTATCGGCTGGAAGCACGGTTTTTACCTTTAAATAGCTACCCCAATCCGTAATGCTCCCCATGGGCTATATAGCTCGAAAAGGGTAAATAAATTTATATATATATATATATATTGCATTATTATACGAAAATTTTAAAAGCATTCCAAGGATTTTCGTTACCGGTTTCGTTAACGATATTAACCCATTAGCAATAAAAAATACCGCAAAAAATACGGCCCGCTTTTTAAAAGCAATTTGGCTAAAATGCAAAGTATAAATAATTAAATACGGCATAAAATTTAACAATATTAAAACGGAATTTATCCATTTTAGCAAGGACGAAAACACGCTTGTAATTCGATTTAGCAATACGGCGGTAGCCTTTAACCAAACGGCTAGGTTTTTTAAGGTTTGGCTAAACGTTTGCTTTAATTTTAAAAAATATATTAAAAAAGCAAAAAGCAAGTAAAAAAAGCAATAGTTAGCATTTACCCAATTTACTTTATTAATATAAAGCAATACGTTTGCAAAAAAAAAGCTTTTTTACAATGTAATTTGCCGCACGGCCTTAGCATACCGCGCAATAACTTTCCATATTGTTACACCGGCAACGGGCCGCTTTAAAAGCGCCGCCAAACAATTTTAAAAAAAATAGCGCGCGTATTTAAAAACCATTGCCGGGGCTTACAAAGCCATTTTATTAGCTAATTTCGAAATTAAATATTTTACCCCCCCCCCCCCCCAATTAATTTATATTTAAACGAAAAAGTATTAAATGCAAAAAAAAAATGGGAGGCCTCGTGGTGCAGTGGCTCTGCACCAGGCCGGTTCCGCCAGGACCACGGGTTCGAATCCCGTCGAAACCACAAAGGACTTTTTGTTTTTTAACCGCCCGCCTTGCTGGGCCGGAAAAAGAAAGGGGCCGCCCCGCTAACGGGCTTCGCCCGAATTGATTTTTACCTACGCACAACCAATTAACAGTTCCGATAATTAATCCGATTTTAACTTTTCCAACCCCAACCCTTTCCAGCCCTTTTCGCACCATTTCGAAGGCTTAAAATGCAAAAGGCTAGGCTAAAAAAAAGGTAACGGGAGGGCTTTTGGGAGGGCCCAACCTTATCCCAACGAACGCACGCACAAACCGACGAATTCGATTACTATTCCTTTTTTTTTAAATATTAGCCATAAGCTTTAGCCTTTTTGCAGCCTTTAACCCCAATCCCAACCTTACCGCCCCAAATAGCCCAAAACGCAAAAGGCCAAACCAATAAAACGGTAACGGGAAAAAAAAGGGCCGGGTATTAAAAGGACCAAATTAAGTGCGTAAGAAGGCCCTTTAAGCGCTTTGGACAAACCTAAACAAAAAAACCGGCAAAAAACCCTTTTAACCAAAATGGACCCAATTCGTAGCCCCCCCGGCAAAAGGGCCAGCCTAGCAAATCGAACAACGAACTAACCAACCAATTACAAACAAGCAGGACGCGGCTTTGTTAGCCTTTTGCAAAAGGGGCTGCACGCGGAAAAACGGTTAATTCCCGGGTAAAGCCTTTACGAACAATCGAGCGTGGAAAAAAGTAAGCGTTAGCCAAAGCGGTTTAATACCGTTACGGAAGCGCACCGTTAAAAAGGCGGAAACGCAGGCATAGGGTTTTTCTTTTTTAGGCCCAACCCAAAGGTTTTCCCCCATTTGCATGTATTTAACCGCAGCACTAAGGTTTCTTCCATAAACATAACAGCGTATAAATACAACAAAAAAAAATGGGAAAAATTTAAAATAAAAAACGTAATTCAAACCGGCACTAATAAAGTAAAGCAATATTTTTAATAATTAAAGCACTGCAAAAAAACGAAAGTATTACATTTATTTAACTTAACAAATAGGAATTGGTAAGCGCAAAAATGGGATTTAACGGAACCCCCCCAAACCCAAGCCCGGCCCCGCTTTAGCAATTATACAAGCAAAAACTAAAATAAAAGCTAACGCTAAAGCATAAAAATTAACGAACCAAAAGCAAAAAAGGAAAAAAAAAAATGGGTCGAAATTAAATGGAACGCTAAATGCAAAAATACCCGCGTTATAGCAACAAAAGCAAATTTATTCCGGCCCGTAACCCCCGCAAACAAACCAAATTTCGACGGTTTAGTATTAAAAGCATATTAAAAATTTATTAAAGCTTAAAGCGCTATAACCATTTAATTAAAAACGGAAAAATTGAAATTAAAAGCGTTTTTATAAAATAAAAACGTTTTTAACGCGCATACGCCCCGTTGCCCGTGCAAAACCGGGCAACGAAAAATAATATTCCATTTGCTAACCGTATGCCCTTTCCACGCCAAGTAAAGGGCAAATTCGGGTTAAAAAAACATAAACCACCGCAAAGCATATTTTAAATAATGGCAGCAAAAAATAAATATTATTACCAAAGCCGAAACAAACCAAAATTGCCCCTTTTCGCCCCCCCTTTTTTTATTGGCCGTACGTTTAGCAATTAAAATAAATAAATTTATTGGAACAGCATTGCGGTGCGCGTGCGATCCGGAAAGGGAGGTTGTTACAAAAGGCTTTGGGATTTTCCGGATCCCGCACGGGCCAACTTTATTTGCTTTAAGCAAAGCAAGGAACCACCTTTTGGGTAATCGTCCCTGCGCATATAAAGGGCAATCCTGTGCCCTTTTTTTGGCAAATAAATTCCTTTTTCGGTATGCACAATAATAAAATTTTCCCCAAATTATTAAAATCGTTGTTTACCTTTACCAAAAAATTTCCAAGCTTTAAAATAAAAGTATTAAATTTTTACCAATATTAATTAATGTTATTCGAAAAAGCAATACAAAACGGTTAAATAAAGGATTTAACGCTAAATTACCCGTTAAAATCTTTTAATCGAAAGGAAAATTAGCGAAAAATTTAAAAGCAAAAAAATACCTTTTTCCCGTTCGACAGCGTATTTGTTAAGCAAATAAATCCCTTTTTTTTTGGCTCGCGCTGCTTAGCAATTAAATTAAAACCAATTAAAAAAAACTTACGAATTTAGGAAAAAACGTTATATAATTCCCAACATGGATTAAATTTTTAATTTTTAAGCTTTTGTAAGCCTTTGGATTAAAAAATTACCCGAAACGAATTTGCTCGTTTACTTATTAAAAAAATAATTACGAATTTTTCCGATAAAGCTTTAACGATTAAACAAACATTACTAACAAAATGTTTGTAGTACAAAAAGCAGTTTTCGAAAATAATTCCGATTAAAAAAAACCTATTTTACGAAAAAAATTATAAAGTTATTTAAGGATTTGGGCCTTTTTTAAAATTTTATAAACATTTGTAACGAAAAGCTTTTTTAATAAGCAAATTACATTTTAAAAGGAGCATTCCAAACCGTTTTTAACAATCGAATCCAAATTTAAATCCTTAAGTTTATGCTCGAATACTGCTATTACAGCGGTAAATTTTTCTTTTCCGCTTTTTTTAAAAACTTTAACGGTTTAAGCTTGGCACGCTTGGAATACTTTAATAAAAGGGCTTTAAAAGCATTCGTTAAATTTTTAATAAATTAAAAAATTACCATTCCCGGCAAAGCAAATTTAAAAGGCTCGAAAAGATTAAACTTGCTAATAACCAATACAAATAACGCCCAAAACCTGGCATTTAAAGAAATAGCAAAACTTTTAACGTTAAATCGCCAAAACAAAAGCAAAGCGCCGGAAATTGCATTTTTACTTGCAAAAACTTCGGTACAAACTAAAGCCCGTAATAAAAAAGCTACCGAAAAGCGGTTAACCGAAAATCCTTAAAACGGACGAGCACGAAAGCTCGAACGCAACAAGTACGAAACCAAAACTTAATTCCAAAATTGGCTTTATTTCCTGGTACCCCGGTAAAAATAGCCATTTTTAAATTACCGTTTTTTTAATCCCTTTAAGCAACAAACCAAAAGTTAGCTTTTTACTAAAAAAAAACCCACCGATTAAACGGAATTTATTTTTATAATTTATTAAATTAAAGGAACCGGCCCCGGATCTTTAAAAAGTACCTTATTGTTTAGGATTTAGCAAAAAGCTAAACCCCGATTCCCCGAACAATTTTTTAACCCCAATTCCCCGAAAAACCTTTTTAACCCTTATTTTTTTGCAATACTAACCGGCACCCCAAATAACAAACCAATACCGCATGCTTTTACCATTGGAAACGCCCAATGCACCGTTCGATTCGAACTTACTAAAAGCCTTTTGCAATATATGGAATAAAGCATACAAATATTTAAAAAAACAATATAACATTTTAAACAACAAAGTTTTAATATTCGCAAATACCTATAAAGCGTTTAGCATTCCCTTTTTGCAATTATACGCGATTTTCCTTATAACCTTTACAAGTTAAACTAAAATTTATTTTATCCAAATTATTAATAAAGGTTACTTTTTTAAAAAAATTTATTTTAAACTTTAAAAGCATTTTAATACGAAAATTAACAAGCAATAATACTATATAAATTGGAATTCAATTACATTTTAAACCGTCCGTTTAAAAAGCGAAAACGCAGGCAAAAGCAAAATGAAAGTGCTTTAAATTTTTTTGGATAAATTTTAAATTTATTAACGAGCTTTTGGCTTTGCTTATTAATAAAACCATTAATTGGTTACAAATACTTTTCGTACAATTTAAAAAGTGCGCGAATTTAAAATGGCCCTTTTACGTTTAAAAAAAACGTTTAAAAGCTTAGCTTTTTAATTGCGCAGCACTTTCCAAATGGAAAAAAATGCAAATATATACGGTAATTACTTTATTAAACGCAAATTCGAAAAAAAACGCTAAAAACGATTAATAAAATACGAAAAGCGCTGGGAAATTACGCTTTTACAGCTTCCAAAACCGCAATATTAATAAATGCTAAATTTGCGGCAAGCTTAATTGCCGCTTTACGCGGCACACGCTAAAAAAAATAGCGCAATTCGAAAAAGCGCTAAAAATAAACCCGTTAAAAGTACGGCAATTAAAAAAAAAATTTCCCAATTCCTTTTCGAATACGAAAAAAAAAGTGGCAATAAAAACGATAAAGCGCCCGCAAACGATTTATAAATTTATTTAACGTTAAAATTTAGCGATTAATTAAATAATAAAAAAGGAAAAACTTTTTCGTTATAATTTTTTACCGTTGCTACCGCAGGATTTTTCGTTAACAAAGCTTTTCGTTATTGCATTTACGCTTATTTTTAATATCGATTAAACAAAAGCAACAAAAAGCAAACATTAAAGCAATACGTGCTTTTTAACGGAAATAAATGGTGCGGTATTATGCCCAATACAAAAGCCGCAAAAGTTTTAACCGTTAGCTTTACGCAATTCCAAGCATTGCAACGCCATTTGCCAAATTTCCAAATGGTTATTAGCAAAGCTAAATACCAAATTCGCTTTAGCTTAAAAAACGCTTTGTATAGCTTAAACAAAATTACTTTGCAAACGCCCGTTGGATTGGTTACTTTTTATATAATTCCAACGCATACCCTTTTCTTTATATGCTTAAAAATATGGACAAACTAAAGGTTTATTTTAACAATACGCGCAACAAGCTTATAACCAAGCAAGGCAAGCGCGTATTAATTACCAAATAATTAAGCTATTTATGGTTTTTTATCGATAAAGTTAGCAATACAACGGCAACCGCTTCGTATTTAACTAATTTTTAAAGCGCAAAAGTGCTTTTTTTAACAAAAGCCAAGCTAAAACGTTTATATAAACAATTTAACCACCTTTTTATTAAGCGCTTTTGGCATGTGCTTAACCAAGCAAGCTATCGAACAAATTGCAACGTTTTGCAAATAATTAATCGGGTATGCTACCATTGCCAAACCACAAGCTTCGCCCCGCAACGCTTTAAATTTATGCTTAAAAATAACGTTAATTTTAATTACAAAATAATTGTTAACGTTATGCATTTAAACAATAAATAAATATTTTATGTAATTAATGCAAATACCGCGTTTAACGCCGCAACCTTTTTTAAAAAAGGATTAATTAAAAAAATTTAAAAAGCTTTTAAGCGCTATTGGCTTAACATTTACTTTGGCCCGCTTAACGTGGTATTTTACGATGCAAAAACCAATTTCGCTGCAAGCAAATTCCAAACGGAAGCAAAGCTTTTTGGAATTACTTGCCATTAAGTTTTTATAAAAGTTTATTAGTCGATAAGCAAAGTTAAAAGGTATTACGGACCTTTCCGTTGTGCTTACGAAATAATTAAAAAGGAATGCTTTAATATTTACTTAAATTTAACGCTTTAAAAAGCAATTAAAGCGCTAAACGATACCGCCAAACCCAACGGGTTAATCCTTACGCTATTTGTTTTTAATGCTATGCCTTAACTAATTAACATTTCGGCACTTACGGGAACGCAAATTTAACAAACGGTAACAATTATTAAAGCCATGGCAAAATTACGCAAACTTTTTGCCAAACGAAAAGTTAATAACGCTTTAAACACGCGCAACGGTTCGAGCATTAAAAAAACGTTGCTTAATTTTTTCGTTTTGGAAAATAAGGTTTTCGTATACCGAAAAAAAAGGAAATAGCAAAAACCTTTTAAAATTTTATTGGTAACAAATAATAAAGTTATTATTAATATGCTAAACGATTTAATAACGTTTTATAGCATTATTTGCAAGCTTTATTACAAATTAAAAAAGTAACAAATAATAAATTTAAAAAAATAACCGGAACCATTTGCATACCTAATTCCGCCCAAGCTACAATTTCGAAAACAATTTCGCAAAATTACCAAGCATTAAAATTATAATTTAAAAAGCGATAGCAAAAACGATTTTAAAATTAAAAATTGCCCGCCGCCGCTTTTGCGCTAATAAAAAAAACCGCGCAAAGCATTTTAGCCCCCGATACTTCCGGTTATTGCATAGCACGATAAACGCTTTAAACGCAACGCTGCGCGGAAAATTACTTTATTAGCTTTCGTAAGCGCAAAAAAAACAAAATTTATGCATTTAGCGCTTTATTACCGCTAAATTAGCAAAATTACAACTTTTAACAAACCTTTTAAGCAATTAAACCAAAAAAAATTAAAAACTTACTGGTTAACAAAATAATAAAACCAATTAAAAAATAATAAATCGATAAATTAGCAAAAGTTTTTGGTTTACGAATGGTTAAAAAAATTAAAGGAATAAATTTAGCATTTTACAAAAAATCGAAATTTGTAATGCAAAGGTATAGCAATTGGGAAAAGGTAACGTTGCTTACTTAATCCTTAACGATTATGCAATGCAACCAACGTTTAATTTTTGTACTTGCACTAAACTTTATAACTATAAACAACCAATTAATATTTTAAAATATTAACCAAGCATATATATATAAATTTATTTACCCCTTTCGAACTGTATAGCCCATGGGGAGCATTACGGATCGGGGTAGCTATTTAAAGGTAAAAACCGTACTTTTAACCAATAGCTATTTGGTGTAAAGCCGGGTAAAAACTTTTTCCTTTCGAGGTATTTTTTATTTCGCGTCGTTTTTGTAAATAATTATTTGTAAAGTATTTTCCGCATTTCCAAACGTTTGGTAAAAAAAAAAATTGTTATTATTCGAAGCGAAATATCGTGGTTTGGTTGGAAATTGGTTCGTTCGTTACATTTAAATTGCGTTATTAAATGCACGTTTCCGTACCAATTTAAAGTTTTCCCGTTGCTCTTTTCTTTTTTGTTAATTTTAGCAAATGGGTTAATATATTGCGGCTTCCTTCGCTTTTTTTTTTCCCAATTTTTTACGCAATTTTACCAAAAAAACATTATTAGCAATTGCAAAATAGCAATAGCAACAACCGTTGTAAATTTTCCTTTTTTAGCTTTCGTTATTTTGCAATTTATTTAACGTTTAATTATAAAACCGTACATTTTTAACGTTTTGCTAATACTTTGCTTCGGTTCCCTGCGGTTTGCAATTGCATTATAACGCCCAAAAAAAAAGGTAATACGAAAAGGCTTGCTTTATTTCTTTTTAAAGTAACGAGCGATTTTAAAAAGCGCAAAGCCCGTTGTTTATATATAGTTTTTTTTACATTTTTATAATTTCCCGTTAACCCATTCCAATGTTTTTAGCAATTTAACCAATTGCATTACGTGCATGCGCATAATGGCCCGCAAAATTAACTTTAATAAAACTTGCATGCAAAATTTTAGTAAATCCTTTTCGTTGTTTTTTTTAATTTTGTTTTTTCGAATATTTTATTAATAAATTGCTTCGGTTTAAATTTTAAATCGAAAAAATGTATATATTGCTATTTAAAAAAAAAAGCTGGCAAAAACGGATAATGCACTTTTGCGCTGGGAAAAAGCGTTTTAAAATTGGGCTAACGTATATTTAACGCTACAAAAAAGCTTAAATCCGTAAATTTTGCTTTTATTGCCGATAATAGCTTTACAAACCGCAAAAAGCATTACGCTTAAGCGTTTAACTTTACGGGCAAAATAAAAATTATAAATTTTTTTTTGCTTTATTATATTTTTTACGTTTTTGGTGCGTTGCTAATATTTTAAATAAAATTGGAAAGCTTGGCTTTTTTAATACGAACGCCGCATTTACGTTAAATTTAAAATTGCTTGCAAAGCGTATTTTCCAAACAATACCCCGGCCCCGGTAAAGCTTTCCCGCTATTTTGCGGGAAATTTTGGAATTAAAGCTCGTTGCAATATTATTATTGCCGACATTTTTATTAAAATGTTTTTCGTATTTAATATCGCTTTTAATTATTTCCAAGCTAAGCGTAACGGGTTTAGCGATTTTACGTTAATGGATTGCGTTAAAGCTTATACGCGGAACGTTTAATTTTATTAAAATATTTACGCTTAATTTTATAACAACGCTATTAAATTTTTTAATTGCTATAACAAATATTTCGAAAGGGTTACCCCCGTCGATTTTTTGCAAATTGGTAACGGTAATAGTAACGGTAAAAATAATAAAGTAACGAATAACTTTTTTTCGGTAATTAATGGTTCCGTAGCTAAGTTTAAAAAAAAGGACGATGCGGTTGGTTTTTAATTTATTAATAAATTTGGTTAGGGTAAGGTTGCGGGTCCAGCTAGGGTTGTTGCGGCGGCAACGGAGGCGGTAAAAGGGGTGTTGGCGGCGTTCGGGGTAGCAATTAAAAAAGCAACCGTTATTGCATTCCTTCCCCCTTTTTAAGCGCTTTTCCGCAATTTTAACAAATTCGATTTCGGTTTTAAGGATAAGGGCAATAATATGGCCGTTTAAACGTTATATACCCAACGGTTCGAATTTTTTATATTTGGAATTTTAAAAATAGTTTGCGGCGACCCGCTTTTACGGGCGTAAATAAATTTCCGCTTTTTAGCGTTAAAATAAAAGGTTGCGTTATTTTGCTTGTTAATATATAGTATTGTTAGTAATTAATAAAATCGTTGGAAGGTTTTTTCGATAAAGTTTAATATGGGTTTGGTTTTTTAAAGCCGGGGCGGTTAAACCCTTTATTTTTTTTCCGAATTTGCCGTTTCGTCGCAACGTTTAACGTTTTTTTATTTTTTCCTTTTTTTTTCGCTTTTTCCGCTTACGTATCGATAATATCGCTTAATAAAGCGTAATTAAAAAGCCGTTTTATTTTTATAAACCATTTTATAATAATTATTGCTTCGTTTGGCTAATTTAGCAAAAATTTTGCCGCCTTTTTTATTGCTTGGAAAATTTTTTTTTTTTGTTTTTGCAAGTTTGGGCAATGTAATAGTACGTATATTACCGTTTCCGGGTTTTAACCGTATTAATACGTTGCGGCCACGCCGGGAACTTTCCGGAAAGCTAAATAACCCTAAAGCTTTAGTTTTTCCGTTTTTAGCTAAACCAATAACGAGCTTTAAATTTTATAAAAATTGCGGTAAAAATTTAAAATTTTTTCGTTGGGCTGCTTTTTATTGGTTTTAACGCTTTTTTTAATTACCGTAACGTAATTGTGCTATTTTTCCTTCCATTTTTCCAATACCGTTATTTCCGGGTTCGATTTTCCAATTTAATTTAACGCTTTTTCCCGTTAACGGAATAACCGCGTAATTGTAACCGTAAACTTTCGCTTCTTATTTTTTAATTTCCGTTGCACCTTTTTGCAAATATTGGTAATTTTTTTTGTTAAACCGCTTTTTTTTAACTTTTTTTTAAAGTAAGCAACGCAATTATTTAATTATATTTAAATTGGGGTTACATGCGTTTTTAATTTTAGCAATTTCCATAAAATTCCTTTGTAAGCCCCCGTTACTGTTTTTAAGCAATTGTTTTGCGTTTTTACTTACGCTTTGGCCATTTTTTTGGGCCGCAACGGGGTAGCGTCGAATTTATAATAAACCGGGGCCGCGTAACTTAATGCTATTTTAATTACGGTTAAATACAAGTATTTGGTTTTGGTAAACGTAAATCCTTACGTTATTATTGCTAAACGCGTAATAAATAGCATTTAAATCGCTATTTTTTCGCGCATTTTTTGGATATATTAAGTTTAATTTAGTTTAAAATTAATTTAAAAGCTTAATATTTGCATTGCTTTTTTTATCGTTTTTGGTTTTACCGTAACCTTTCCGAAACGGAAAGGTAACGTTAGCGCGGGTTTCTTTTTTTTTATTAACCAAACCAGTTAGTATTTGGCCGGGTTAAATTTTATTCCAAATCTTTTTATTTATTTTAAGCATACGTTGTAAGCGGTTTTAAATTTATTGGTTGCGTTCGTTGCGTTGCGGTTAAAGCTAATTAAATTAATATTATTTGCAAATTCCGTAGCCGCAACCCTTTTTACTTCCCGTAACTTTTTGTACAAATTTGCCGTGTAAATAATAAAAAGGATGGGTAATATTAAAAATTTTTGCGGAATTCCGCATGGAACTTTATTTTTCGCCGTATTTTTGCCGTTAAAAAAAAGTATTATTTCCCGATTGCTTAAAAAGCTTTTAAAAAAATCCAAAATTTATTGTAAAAATTGGTATTTTTTTATTTTGTTAAAAAAGCGTACATGCAATACGGTATTAAAAGCGCCGTTTATATCGAATAATAAAAAACCAATTATCGCTTTCGCGTTTTAAACCGTATTTACCACTTTTGTAAGTAAGCGCATGGCCGTTTCCGTAAATTTACATTATTAATTGCCCATTTATTTATCGGGAAATAATTAATAGCTTTTTGCGGTATTTTTAATACGAAACGCTAAAATCTTTTCCAACGCTTTTTTTATCGTTTCCAAAAAAGCAATTAGCTTTTACGCGTTTAAAATGTTCGAATTTTTATCGAATTTTTAAAAAATAATAATGCGGAATTTCCAAAACCTTTCCGGAAAGTAACCGCGGTTTACGCATGCCGTAAACATTTCCGTTAATATTTCGAAAAGTGCCGATTCCATTACTAACAATTTTCCGGTAAAAATTTTTATTAAGCTTAAAGCTTTTTAATATTTTATATTTCGAAAGGTTTTTTTTACGTTTTTTGCAATAATTTCTTTGCGGATAAATAAAGGTTAAAAAAGTGGTTCGGGGTATTTGGGGATATTAATGGTATTTGCCGTTAATATGGGAAAAAATTTCTTTTTTAAAATTGCTTTTTTCGCTTTTTTTATTGCCGTTACCTTTTCGCTTGGTAATTTTAACAACGGGAATAACGGGGGGGGAAAAGGTTGGTAGCTTTTATATTTTGCCCATTTAGCAATGGTTTATATGCTTTTAACGTTTTGTATAATGCTTGCTTCGTGCATTGCGGTACGCTACGTATACCTTTTTGCTATTTTAATAACGTTTTTTTTTTTTAATAACTTTTTTTATTATTGCGTAATTAATTCCCAAACGGTTTGCTTTTTACGTTAATTCGGCCCGGTATTTATCGCAAAGTAGCTAAAAAAAAAATTTCGTTTATTAATTATAACTTTTAACTTTTCCTTTTAGCTTTGGTACGGTTAAATTGCGAATTTCCAATATTGCTTTTATAATATCGTTTATTTTTTTATTAATTGCTTAAAGGTTAATAAATGGTCGTAGCAAAAGGGGAATTTTATTGTTCGTTAGGGATTTAGCAAATTTTTTATCGATTTTTTTCCAATTCCAGCCTTTTAAAGCTAGTGCGTAAAAGTTCGAAATGGTTTCCAAAATTGTAATTACCATTTCCGTATGGTCGTTGTTACTTTAACGTTATTTTAACGGTTATTAAATCCTTAACTTTCCGGTAGCCCAAATTAAATCGATAATGGTATTTTTGCAATAAAAAGCGGATTTCGTTATTGCGTTTCGGCAAATTATTAATTGCATGCATTATAGCTCCGTTAAACCAATTAATTTGGAAGCTTTCGCGTGCATTGGTGCGTTTTTTGGGCGCTTTAACATTTATGCTTTATAATAAAGGTTAAAATTTTTTACTATTAAATTATTGCTTTTCGGTTTTTTTCCGGCGAATTTGTTAATAAATGTTATCCAATTTGTAATGGTTGTATTTCCCGAAAACGGGGAGTAAACCAACCAAATCGTTATATTTTCGTTTTGGGTGCCGATTGTAACTTTGCACTAATCCGGTTTTGCTTCGTAATTTAAAATACGTAACGTTAATTTAATATAAATAATTGCTTTGGTAATAGGGAAAAAGGGGAAAGCAAATTATGGTGGTAAGGAAGGGGAAAGCGCGTTGTTTTTTTTTAGCGGTTTTAAAGGAATTCCGGTAAATTGCCGTATGGTTGCTGCGGGGTAAAATTGTATATATATTGGATTAGCTTTTTTCCGGCCCACAACGGGGATTTAGCGTTCCTTTTCGAATTTTTTAGTAACTTTTGTATTGCTAATACGTTAAAGCTGTTTTTTTTTGCTAATAATGCGTTAAATATTTCCGGTTTTTTCGTTACGTTTTATTAAAAAACCTTAAGCATTGGTTTTTTCGTTAAAAAGGTCCTTTTTTGCTTTTAAAAGGGGCGGTAACGTTAACGTTTTTTTTTGTATAATTAAATGCTAAAGGATTGTATATTATTGGATGATTGGAAAAGGGTAAAGCTTTTTTGGCTGGCCTTTTTTATTATTTCTTATAGCGGTAAAGGGGACGCGGGTATCGCTGGGGAAATGGGTTTTGTTAAGGGGTTCGCGGGGGGGGTGCGGGGGGGAAAAGGCTTTAAAATGCGTAAGCTTTGGTTTTTTACAAATAACGTAATAATTGCGTTTTTTCGTTTTGCCGTATGGAATTTCCTAAGCTTTTTTATAAATCGTTCGGCCGATTTTAGGAAATTTTTTTTCCGTTTTGTAAGTAAGGTTGGTTAAAGGAAAGGTAATTTTAACTTTGCGTTAATTTTGTTACGTGTAAAGGTTTTTTTGGTTAGCGGGATTGTATTTCGGGTTATTGTTAATATTTAAAAAAAGGTTATTGCAAAAGGGCTGTTGCTCTTTTTTGCTTAATTGGTTTTTTTTTGCTTTTGTGTAAGGGCTGCTTTTTCCCGGGGTAAAAGGGGGGATTTTGCCCGTTTTGCTTCCGGCAACGATCCGGTTCGTAACGATTTTGAAATGGAAATTATTGGAATTTCGTAATGGGTAAACTTCGTAAGCCAAATTTTTTTTTGCATTGTTGGGTTTGCTTTCGTACCGGGCAATATAAAAAATAAAATAGGTATCCAGCTTTGTTGCACGGAATATAAAATGCCCCGAACATATTTTTCGGCGATTTTTTTATTGCTTTTTTTTTTTTTTACACCGTTTATCGTTATATTCTTTTAATTTATACCACGTACACGCCGTAATTTGCTTGCATTGCATGCTTTTATATCTTTAATTTAAATAGCGGTAATATTGCGCCGTAATTAATTTAAAGTTAAAAAGTTAGCATTAATATGCCAACCCATTCCATTAAAAATAATTTTTTTGCAAATTTATTGCGCTTTTTAAATTTGCAATTTAAAGCAACGCCGTTACCTTTTTTTTGTTACTTTTTTTTATTTATAACGAAACGGTAACCCGTTCGATATTTCCATGCGGGTTTTCGGCGTTAAATGCCTTTATTAGCTTTAATTAATGTTTCGCTTTGCTTTTATCGTTAAAAAAAAATTAAAATTTATTGGTTGGTAAGCCCGTTATTACTAAAGCTATTATTGGTTTAGTAATTTTTAAACCGTTCGTTTGTTCGGTTGTATCCTAAACCGCAAAAAGCGCGTACCACGTTCGTAACCGGTTCGTTGCGGCGGGGTTGCCGTAATTATTTGCAACCTTTTTTATGCTTTTGCTTATATCGTTCGTTTCCGGCCCGGGCCGGCATTTTTTTTCCGTTTGTTAACGGGTATTAACATTTTGGAAATGCAAACGAACGTTTTTTAACGGGTGCTAATAAACCGTTTTAACCCAGCTTTTACTCAATTTTTTATTGCAAATCCGTTTAATTTTTTCGGGTTTTATTTTTTTAATTTTTTTACTTTCGGTAATAATAAAAATTTTATTGTTAATTATGGATGCTATTGCTTTTTTGGCTTTTATTGCTTGGGGTGCTTTGGAAACGGTTTGCGTTTTTGCGGTTACTTGGGCCTAAATTTGTTTCCCATTTCCTCCGTTTGCGGCCGTTGCTTATTGCGCTTAATTCTTTTTTTTTAATATGGTTTTAATTCGTTTAAAAAATTAAAAAATTATTTAAATTGCGTTGGAGTTAATTGCTAAGGTTGTTAAAATTGCAATTGCTTGGTTAATTGCTTTAACGTATTAAACGAATTTTGCAATAATTTTAACGGCCGTAATTTTTCTTTTTTTTTATTAAGCGATTGGAAATACTTTTTTGCAAATTGCATTGTTGCAATAATTAATTGGGTTTTTTTGGGCTTGCAATTGGTTTTTGTCGTAATTGTTGCTGGTTTGGGTAATTCCCGTTACGTATTGCGTATTTCGATTGGTTAAAGCCAATGGCCTTTTCCATTAACGCCGCAACGGCGCTTCGAAGTATTATCGAATTCGCTTAGCTTTTAAGCAAATTAGCGTTTCCGGTTTTCGTAATGGCTTTAATTTTTTTGTATGTCGTTATTGTTGTTGCGCGCAAATAAAAAACGTTTTTTTTTAAAACAAATCTTTTTTTTATTAACCAAGCATATATTTAAGCCAAAACCGAATTATAAAAAACCGTTTATTTGCGCTTGCTTAAAAAATTGCAACAACATTACCCATTTAAAACCTTATTTTATTTAATTAAATCGCTTTACGAATTGGCCGAAACGGGATTGCATTAATTTATTACATACCAAAAGCATTACAAAAAACGTTTAAATTGTTCCATTTCCAATTACAATTTTTATTTGTTTTTTTTAAAAATCGGCAAAAGCTTTGGAATTGTTGGTATGCAAACCAACGATACGTTAAATTTAAATAGCAAAGTTTTTATGGAAAAAAAAGAAATTGCTTTTTTGGAAGCAAATTTTAAAGCCAAATTACGGTTTATTTTAAGCTCGGGAAATAAAGGCCATTTTAACGGTTGCAAAATAACGATTGGCAAAACAATTATTTACATGCAGCAAAAAAAACGAGCAAATTGGTTCGAGCTTGTGCTTTATAAAAGCGATAACATTTAGCAATAATACGTAGTTTAACGCGTACAAAAGGCGTATATTAGCTTTATATGCTAGCCGGAAGCCGCATTTAACTGCTTTGTAACCGCGCAAGCTTAAAACCCCTTTAATACGAACGTTACAAAGTTTAACAAACGCATTTAATAGCAAATTAACAATGCGGATAAAAGCTTAAACTACGTGCAAATGGATTTAACACAAGCCAAGCTGTACGTATTCGTAAACGGGTCCTTTGCTAACAACAAGGATTTAAATTTACAAATTAGCTTTTTGGTTATTTTTGGCGTTAAATAAAGCATAAAGCAAAAAAACAATTTCCAAATTATTAAAAATATATTGCATTGGAGCTTTGTTAAATGCAAAAGGGTAATACGCAATATTTTTGCAAGCGAAATTTACGGCATGGTTAGCAAATTTAATGCTGGTTACGTTTTAAAAATTACGCTTTCCGCAATTCGCGAAAGGCTAAAATTGCCCTTTTACAAACTGGTAATTTGCACAAATAGCTTATTGCTTTATTAATGCTTCGTTTAGCTTGGAATAACAACGAAAAAACGCTTTATAATAAATATTATGGCTTTTTGCAAATTTTACGAAAAGCGGGAAATTAACGAAATCCGGTAAATTGCAAAAGCAAATAATTTTGCAAACGTTATAACCAAAAATTAGCTAAATAAAGCTTTTAAAAATTTCGTTAGCTCCAACATTACAACGGTAAAAGTTAAAAAATAAGTAAAGCAAAATTAAAAGTAAAAAAAAGCTAAAGGTTATTCCAATCGATTTTTTTTTCCATTTCCATAACGAGCTATTAACCCCGAAAACGTAGCGCGCAAAGCATGGAACCGTACTTTTTATAATCGATAAAAGCAATAAAACAAAAGCTTAAAAAAACGATACCATTATTTTTTTAAATTTCCTTTATTTTTCGTTTTTTTTATCCGCTTTTCCCATAAAGGCCGCAGCATTCCACATACGGAAAGCTACCAATTGGCCCGCTTTATTACGCTCCGTTCGTATTATCGTAAAAAGGTTATCGTTAGCTTTAGCGAACGTACCGTTTTTGCCGGCGTTTTTTTTAGCAAAAAGCAAAAGCATTTTGCAAATAGTTCGCTATTTATCCAATTTTTGCAAATAAATAAACCTTATTAAATAAATATCCAAATTATTTAACCCAAAAATAAAAATTTATACTTTTTTTGCAAACATCCTTATTTTAACGCTAAATAAAAAAAAATTTAAAAGCAAAACGCATAATTATAAAGGGATTAAAAAAAATTGTTAGTTCGAACCGGCAAATAAGCTTTTAAAAATCGAAATGCTTATATGGGCTTGCATGTATAGCCCGAAGCGTATAACCAATACCTTTTTTTATTCGGAATTTGGTTTTAACAATTACTACCGTTATTTAGCTTAAGCATTTTGCTAGCTAAAATTAATTTAAAACATTTTAAGCATGGAATTAATTGGAAATTCCCTTTTTAACCGCGCTTACCAAAGCTTGCAAAAAACATCGGGCTTTTACTATTAATAATGGAACGAAAAGGAATTTTAAAGGAAATTTTGCCTTTTTTTTTTCCTTTTTTTCCGGAAATTAATTAATTAAAACGAGCGTTAAATTGTTAAGCGGGCAAATTAACATTTACAATTACATCCAACGAATTTTGTAATTGCGCTAAAGCAGCTTTTAATTGCTTAAAAAGCTTAAGCTAAGCCGTAATTTATTTGTTTTGGTTATTAAACGAATTAATAAAAGCAAATACAGCCAATGGATTTTATAATTGCATTAAAACGGGGTTTAATTGCTTAAAAAGTTTAAATTAAGCTTTGGTTTGCTTTTAATAATCGATGGAAATTGTTTTTATTGTATTAACAAAAAGAACGGGCTAAACGTTAGCTTATTTGTATTGCTTGGTAAAAGCCGTATTAATTACATTAATAAAAAGCACAAGCTAAGCGTTGGTTTGCTCGTGCTATTCGGTGGAAACCGTATTAATTATATCGATAAAAAGCACAAGCTAAGCGCTAGCTTGCTCGTACTATTCGGTAAATGCCGTTTTTATTGCATTATTAAAAAAAACAAGCTAAAATTTGGCTTATTTGCGTTATTCGGTAAAAGGTCCGTTTTAAGCTTAAAAAGCTAAAAATCCTGCAAATTCCGTTTTTTCCTTATAATTAACTTTTTGCGCAATAAAATTTTTATTTAAACGAAAAATAAAACGGCTTTGCGGTTTTATTAAATCGGTATAATTTAGTTAAAACCCGAATGCCGTTTAAATAATAGCACGTTCCGTAAATTTAGCGCAACGGTATTGCGCAAAAGCCAAATAACGTTTAAAACGTGCATTATGCGCGCTTTTCGCTTTTTCGAAAGTACGTTTAGCAAGCTTAAAAATCCTTAAATCGATAAAAGCCAAATTGTTATATTTAGCCTTTTTTTGTACCTGTTAATTAAAAAAAGCTTAATTTTTTTTATTAAAACAACCCGCAAACCGATTTAATCCAGGTTTTGCAAGCGCATTCGTCGTATTAATTAGCGTAAAAAAGTTAATACGCGCAATTCCGGAATTAACCTTGTAAGGATCGACAAATTTAAAAGGGCTAATAGCCAAATCGTAAGCCGAATTAACGTAAAAATTAGCAAGCAAAACAATAACCAAACCTTTAAACGAATCCTAAGCAAGCGTAATTTTTTTTTTAAAATAATTAGCGAAATCGTTAATTTGGTTTTAAACCGGGTTTAGCTAAAGCTAAGCTTTTTCGTTGGTTTAACCACTTTAAATGTTAATTTCGCCTTTATTATTTTTTTGCTTAAAACCTTTTTGCTTTTTAAGCCGGCAGTTTTTGCAATTGCTAAAAAGGTTTTTTCTTTTTAAAGCAACCATTTTAATTACAAAGCGATTTGGGAAAGCGAAAAATATTTAATCGAAAGGTTAAAAGCAAAACGGGCAAAGCAACAAGGTTAAAAAAAAGGTTTACAAATTTAAATTTATTAAATTGCAATTAAAATAAAAAAAGTGCTTTTTATAAATACAAACCCCAAAAGCTAACAAAATGCTTATTAATATTGTTTTTTATTAAAGCAATTTATTAAATAGCCTTTTACCGCGCTAAAAAGCATACCACCCTCTTTTTTTATTATTTTTTAAATTAATAACCCAATGCTTCCTAACGTACCGAAATGCCTTTCCAAAGCTTAATTTCCTTTTATTCCTTTGCCATTATTTATTTTTTAAATAAAAATTCGAATTTCCAAATCCAGCATGTTTTTCTTTTGTTAAATCCATTTTAATAAAGCCTTTTGGAAATTTTGGTAATTTCCAAATAAAGCTTTTTTTTTAATGGAAAGGTTTACCCGTTGCCCACGCACAAAAAAAAATAATGCCGGTATTGGAACAACATTGCGGTACGCGTGCGATCCGGAAAAAAAAATTGTTACAAAAAGCTTTAGGATTTTCCGGATCCCGTACGGGCTAATTTTATTTGCTTTAAGCAAAGCAAAGAACCACTTTTTGGGTAATCGTCCTTGCGCATATAAAAGGCAATCCTGTGCCTTTCTTTTGGCAGATAAAATTTTTCCTCGATGTGCATAATAATAGGATTTTCCCTAAATCATTAAAATCGTTGTTTACCTTTACCAGGAAATTTCCGAGCTTTAAAATAGGAGTACCAAACTCTTACCAATAAAATTTAACAATTTTAAAATGGTAAAGAAAAATAACCGGTTAAAAACGCAAGCACAAAAAAAACGAACCGCTTTAAATAAATAACCCAACGCTAAACTAATTACCAAACGCAAATACCCGGATTACCAACCTAATATAAAAAAGCTATAAATATATGCTTAATTATACTTAGCAATACCTAGCAGCAAGCCCGAAAACAAACCGTTGCTTTACATATTTTAGCGCTTGCGGATTTTTTCCCGCAACATTTTTAACACTTTATTAAAAAACGCTAAATTATTTTTATTATTAATTTATTTTATAACCGCTATATGGAATTGCTTATATAAATTAAAAAGCGCAAAAAAAACAACAAAAATAATACCGTTACCGGGGAAAAACCGGCATTTACTAATTGCTAAGCTTGCTTAAAAGCAAACTTTTTAACCTTTAAGTTATTAGCAACTTCCGCAGCTTCGTTAGCACGCAATAAAGCGTTAAAAGCTTTTAAAGCGTAAAAAGCGAAAGCTTAAAGCATCGATATTATATTGCCGGAAAGGAACCGTACAAATTCCAAACCGGTAGCATTTGCATTTATAAAAACCCCGGCGCTAAAAAAAGGAAGCATTTGGAAACGGTTAAAGTTAAAGCCAGTACCGGCAAGTACCCCGAATTTGTTAAATCCATTTTTGTTAGCACGCCGGAACGTAAAAACCTTAGCAATTAAAGCGTTGTAAGCTTTTTAGCATTATACCATACCGTTAGCAAATTGGCAAATTACAAAAAGCCAACAAAACCAAAGCAATTTACTAAATATTTGCGGCAATTATTTAATTTAAAGTAACGCATGTTTTTAGCTTTGGGAAACGTTTTATAATATTTGGCGAAAAGCTTAACGGCAGCACGAGCTTTTTTAATTGCAGCAAAGTAAGGTTAAGGAAAAATACGTTAGCAACCTGGTTAAATAAAGGATAAAAAACAACTTACCGCTTTATACTAAACGTTTTAATTGGTACAAAAATAATAAAATAACGCGTTTAAATTTAAAGCAATTAATAAATTAACAAATATAAAAGTTACCCGAAGCTATAAAAAAAACAAACCAATTTTAAAATAACAAACCGCAACTTTGCTAAACCGCATTTTCCCGTTTTACTTTTTACCCGAATTATTAACCAAACGGTTAACGCAATTTATATAAATTTTACGCGCAAAATTAAATAATTAACCGGAGCGCAAGCAAAAAAAAACGAAAAAAGCATTTACGTTATTTGCTAAAAAAAGCACAATGCTTTCGGAAATAGCCGTTAAAACGTTTATTGCTTTGCGGGTTATAAATTTATATCGCTAAATATACGATAAAGTTAAAATGAAAGGAAAAAACAAAGCGAAAGCGAAAAAACAAAAAAAAATTAACAATGTAATTAGCGTTAATTTACGCGTTATTGCCGTTGTTGTTATCGTTGCTAACGCTAAAAAAATCGTTGCTATTATTAAATACTTTTACAGGAAAAGGACGGGCAACGGGACGGGCAAAAAAAGCGATAAAAACGATAAAATCGAAAGAATTGGAAGCAACAAAACCGGACGCAAACCCCCCATTTACCCAACCATTATTACGAACGCCGCTACCGCCGCGGCCACCGCGCTTGGCAAAATTAGCTTTAGCTTTGCCTTTTTTTTTAAAGAAAGCCGTTAATTAATATTGCAACCGATTAAAAGTAAAGTTAAAAATGGCCGAAAGTAAAACAAATAAAGGCATAACCAAGCGCTAAAAAAAAGAAGCGCGTTAAAAAAGGATTAAAATAATAAAAAATAACCGGAAGCAATGCGGAAAAAAAAGCGGTTAAAAAGGATAAAGCATTGCATTAAAGGAAAAAAAAAGGAAAAAAAGGAAAGGTAAAAAAGGGTGGAAAAGGAAAAAAGAAAAAGGAAAAAAAAAAAACAAGCAAAGTAAAAAAAAGGCACCGGTAAAAAAGCAACTTTCCCAAACCCTTTTAAAGCCATTACGCCGGCGAAAAAAAGCACAATTACCTTCCAAAATACAATTACTTACCCTTAACCCAACAAAGCCACAAACACCCAAACGGCAAGCCCAAAAAGCACCGTTACCCCAACGGAAACGGCTAAGCATTAACTTAACAAAAATACGTACGAAAACGTCGATAAAAACGGCCGCCGATACCTAGCTACAAAGGATAAAATAACGATATAAAAAAAGTTACGCTATACCGGATACGAACCGTACCTAAAAGCACGACGCAAAGCCGAAAGCGCGAAGCGCTGGCCTTACGCAACAATTACTTAATTGGCCAAGCTTTCGCTTATTTAGCGGTAACCGCCGGAATTACCTTAAAGCAATGGCGCTTTTTTAAAGCCATATTTCCTACACATTTTTTTTATAATTTTTTTATATAATAATTTCCCATTTTCACTTTACCATTATACCCTTTTTGGCCGGGGGTACAAAAACGCTTTTTTGCCGGAGCATTTATTAGCAATCGAACGGATTACAGTAAACGGAGCCAGCGGTTTAATACCAACCCGGTACTGGTTCGTAAGCGCAGGGTTTTCTTTTTTAAGCTAAACCCAAGGGTTTCCCTTACGCAACATTTAGCAGTAGCACTAAGGTTTTTCCCATAAATAAAATAAAGTATAAATATATATATATATATATATATAATTATTTTTGTAAACGATTGTTTAATTATCGGGCTTAATATTAAGTATATTAGCATTTTTAAATAATGCTTACATAAAGTATATGCGTTAAAAAACCGCAGGTTTGCAAGTTACTTTTTAAGCGTTTAAATCGAAAGGGATAAGCTTAAACGGCTTTTTTGCATTTACCAAAGCCAATATATCGAAAAAATGCTTGTTATTTTCGGCTTGCAAAATTTTCGAACTATTGGTATTTTTTTACAACCGGGTATGCTAAATGATATTAGCGGATCCTTTATAACCTTAATTAAAGTTAAATTTTTACAAAGTATTATAAGGACCGTTATGTACTTAATGCTATTACCCCGCCCGGATATCGGTTTTGCTGTTTAATGGATTTTACGCTATTTAATAAAGCTTACCAATACCTACATTAACGCCGCAAAAAACCTATTAAAATATTTAAGTAGCACCCAAAACTTAACCATTTAATATGGTAAGTTAAAAGGGTTAATGTTAATAAACCTTGTAAAAGCCAAAATAGCAAGGATGTTGGTAAAAGTCTGGTACTCCTGTTTTAAAGCTTGGAGATTTCCTGGTAAAGGTAAACAACGATTTCAATAATTTGGGGAAAATCTTATTATTGTGCATACCGAAGAAAAAATCTATCTGCCAAAAAAAGGGCACAAGATTGCCCCTTATATGCGCAGGAACAATTACCCAAAAAGTGGTTCCTTGCTTTGCTTAAAGCAAATAAAATTGGCCCGTGCAAAATCCGAAAGATCCCAAAGCCTTATGTAATAACTTCCCTTTCCGGATCGCACGCGCACCGCAATGCTATTTCAATACCGGCACTATTTTTTTTTGTGCGCGGGCAACGGGTAAACCTTCCCGTTAAAACGAAAAAAAGGCCTTATTTAAAAATTATTAAAATTTTTAAAAAGCCCTATCAAAATAAATTTAATAAAAAAAAAACATATTGGATTTGGAAATCCGAATTTTTATTTAAAAAATAAATAATGGCAAAAAAATAAAAGGAAATTAAATTTTAAAAAGGCATTTCGGTGCGTTAGGAAGCATTGGGTTATTAATTTAAAGAATAATAAAAAAAAGGGTAATGTACGTTTTTGGCGCGGCAAAAGGTTATTTAATAAATCGCTTTAATAAAAAATAATATTAATAAGCATTTCGTTGGTTTTTGGGGCTTGCATTTATAAAAAGCACTTTTTTTATTTTAATTGCAATTTAATAAATTTAAATTTGTAAACCTTTTTTTTTAACCTTATTGCCTTGCCCGTTTTACCCTTAACCTTTTAATTAAATATTTTTCGTTTCCCCAAATCGCTTTGTAACCAAAATAATTATTTCGAAAAAAAAAACCTTTTTGGCAATTGCAAAAGCCGCTAGCTTAAAAAGCAAAAAGGTTTTAAATAAAAAAATAACGAAAGCGAAATTAACATTTAAAGTAATTAAGCCAACGAAAAAGTTTAATTTTAGCCAAACCCGGTTTAAAACCAAATTAACAATTCCGCCGATCATTCCAAAGAAAAAATTACGCTCGTTTAGGATCCGTTTAAAAATTTGGTTATTGTTCCGTTTGCTAATCCTTACGTTAATTCGGCTTATAATCCGGCTATTGGTTTTTTTAAATTCGTTAATTTTTATAAAATCGATTCCGGAATTGCGCGCATTAGCTTTTTTACGCCAATTAATATAACGAATGCGCTTGCAAAACCTGGATTAAATTGGTTTGCGGGTCGTTTCGATAAAAAAAATTAAGCTTTTTTTAATTAGCAAATATAAAAAAAAGCTAAATATAACGATTTGGTTTTTATTAATTCGGGAATTTTTAAGCTTGCTAAACGTGCTTTCGAAAAAGCGAAAAGCGCGCATAATGTACGTTTTAAGCGTTATTTAGCTTTCGCGCAATACCGTTGCGCTAAATTTGCGGAACGTACTATTACCCAAACGGCATTCGGGCTTTAATTAAATTATATTAATTTAATAAAATCGTAAAGCGATTTTATTTTTCGTTTAAATAAAAATTTTATTGCGCAAAAAGTTAATTATAAGGAAAAAACGGAATTTGCAAAATCCTTAGCTTTTTAAGCTTAAAACGAACTTTTTACCGAGCAATGCAAGCAAATTAAATTTTAATTTATTTTTTTTAATAATGCAGCAAAAACGGCATCCACTAAATAGTAAAAGCAGGCCAGCATTTAACTTATGCTTCTTGTTAATATAGCTAATACGGCTTTTACCAAGCAATACGAACAAACTAACGCTTAGCTTGTGCTTTTTATCGATATAACCAATACGGCTTTTACTAAGCAATACGAACAAGCTAACGTTTAGCCTGTTTTTTTTGTTAATATAATGGAAACAACCTTTACCAATTATTAAAAGCAAACCAAAGCTTAATTTAAGCTTTTTAAGCAATTAAAAGCCGTTTTAATGCAATTACAAAATTTATTAGCTATATTTATTTTTATTAATTCGTTTAATAATTAAAACGAGCAAGTTACGGCTTAGCTTAAGCTTTTTAAGCAATTAAAAATTATTTTAACGCAATTACAAAATTCGTTAAATGTAATTGTAAATATTAATTTGCCCGTTTAGCAATTTAACGCTTGTTTTAATTAATTAATTCCCGGAAAAAAAAAAAAAAAAGGCAAAATTTTTTTTAAAACTCCTTTTCGTCCCATTATTGGTAATAAAGGCCCGATATTTTTTGCAAATTTTAATAAACGCGGTTAAAAAGGGGATTTCCAATCGATTTTATGCTTAAAATGCTTTAAATTAATTTTAATTAGCAAAATGCTTAAATTGAATAACGGTAATAGCTATCGAAACCAAATTTTAAATAAAAAAAAGTATTGGCTATGCGTTTTAAGCTATACATGCAAATCCATATAAGCATTCCAATTTTTAAAAGCTTATTTGCCGGTTCGAACTAATAATCTTTTTTAATCCTTTTATAATTATGCGTTTTGCTTTTAAATTCCTTTTTGTTTAGCGTTAAAATAAGGATATTTGCAAAAAAAATGTAAATTTTTATTTTTGGGTTAAATAATTTAAATATTTATTTAATAAGGTTTATTTGCTTGCAAAAGCTAAACAAATGGCAAACCATTTGCAAAATGCTTTTGTTCCTTACTAAAAAAAACGCCGGCAAAAACGGTACGTTCGCTAAAGCCAACGATAACCTTTTTACGATAATACAAGCGGAGCGTAATAAAGCGGGGCAATCGGTAACTTTCCGTAAATGGAATGCTGCGGCTTTTATAAAAAAGGCGAATAAAAAGGACGAAAAATAAAAAAATTTAAAAAATAATGGTATCGTTTTTTTAAGCTTTTATTTTATTGCTTTTATCGATTATGGAAAGCACGGTTCCATACTTTGCGCGTTGCATTTTTAAGGTTAATAGCTTGTTATGGAAATAAAAAAAAATTAATTAAAATAACCTTTAGCTTTTTTTTACTTTTAATTTTGCTTTACCCATTTTTTAACTTTTACCGTTATAATGTTAAAGCTAACGAAATTTTTAAAAGCTTTATTTGGTTAATTTTTGGTTATAACGTTCGTAAGGTTATTTGCTTTTGCAATCCACCAAATTTCGTTAATTTCCCGCCTTTTATAAAATTTGCGGAAAGCTATAATATTTATTATAAAGCGTTTTTCCGTTATTGTCCCAAATTAAATAAGGCATTGGTAAAGCAACAAATTATTTATGCAAATTACCAGTTTGCAAAAAGGCAATTTTAGCTTTTCGCCAATTGCGAAAAGCGTAATTTTTAAAACGTAACCAGCATTAAACCCGCTAATTATGCCGTAAATTTTACTTGCAAAAACATTGCGTATTACCCTTTTGCACTTAACGAAGCTCCAATGCAATATATTTCCAATAATTTAAAAGCTATTTTTTTGCTTTATGCTTTATTTAACGCTAAAAACAACCAAAAAGCCAATTTGTAAATTTAAATCCTTGTTGTTAGCAAAGGACCCGTTTATAAATACGTATAGCTTAGCTTATATTAAATCCATTTGCACGTAATTCAAGCCTTTATCCGCGTTATCAATTTGCTATTGGATGCGTTTGTTAAACTTTGTAACGTTCGTATTAAAAGGGTTTTGGGCTTGCGCGGTTACAAAGCAGTTAAATGCGGCTTTTAATTAGCATATGGAATTAATATACGCTTTTTGTACGCGCTAAACCACGTATTGTTATTAGGTATTATCGTTTTTGCAAAGTACAAATTCGAACCAATTTGTTTATCCCTTTTATTGCATGCAAACAATCGTTTTGCCGATCGTTATTTTGCAACCGTTAAAATAGCTTTTATTTCCCGGGCTTAAAATAAACCATGGCTTGGTTTTAAAATTTGCTTCCAAAAAAGCAATTTCCTTTTTTTTTATAAAGGCTTTATTGCTTAAATTTAACGTATTATTGGTTTGCATACCAATAATTCCAAAGCTTTTGCCGATTTTTAAAAGGAGCAAACAAAAATCGTAATTGGAAATGGAACAATCCAAACGTTTTTTGTAATGCTTTTGGTATGTAACGAACCAATGCAATCCCGTTTCGGCCAATCCGTAAAGCGATTTAATTAAACGAAGCAAAGTTTTAAATAAGTAATGTTGTTGCAATTTTTTAAACAAGCGCAAATAAACGGTCCTTTGCAATTCGGTTTCGGTTTGGGTATATGTTTAATTAATATCCCGAATTATTAATTGGTTGCTTGTAGTTATAAAGCTTAATGCAAACGCGAAAATTAAGCATTAATTGCATTGCATAATTATTGGAAATTAAATAAACAACGTTGCTTTTTTCCAATTGCTATACCTTTGTACCATAAATTTTAACTTTTTGTAAAATGCCGAATTTATTTTTTTAACCTTTTTAACCATTTGTAAACCAAAAACCTTTGCCAATTTATCGATTTGCTATTTTTTAATCGGTTTTATTACTTTGTTAATTAACAAATTCCCAATTTCTTTTTGGTTTAATTGCTTAAAAGGTTTGCCAAAGGTTATAATTTTGCCAATTTAGCGGTAATAAAGCGCTAAACGCATGGACTTTATTTTTTTTGCGCTTACGAAAGCTAATAAAATAATTTTTTGCGCGGCGTTGCGTTTAAAGCATTTATTGTGCTATGCAATAACCGGAAATATCGAAGGCTAAAATGCTTTGCGCGGTTTTTTTCGTTGGCGCGAAAGCGGCGGCGGGAAGTTTTCGATTTTAAAATCGTTTTTGTTATTGCTTTTTAAATTGTAATTTTAATGCTTGGTAATCCTGCAAAATCGTTTTCGAAATCGTAGCTTAAACGAAGCTAAATATGCAAATAGTTCCGGTTGCTCCTTTAAATTTGCTATTTGTTGCTTTTCCAATTTATGGTAAAGTTTGCAAATAATGTTGCGGAACGTTATTGGGCCGTTTAGCATATCGATAGTAACTTTGTTATTTATTACCAATAAAACTTTAAAAGGTTTTTGCTATCCCTTTTTTTTTCGGTATATAAAAACCTTATTTTTTAAAGCAAAAGAATTAAGCAACGTCCTTTCGATGTTCGAACCGTTGCGCGTATTTAAAGCGTTATTAACTTTTTATTTAGCAAAAAGTTTGCGCAACTTTGCTATGGCTTTGGTAATTGCTACCGTTCGTTAAATTTGCATTCCCGTAAGTGCTAAATTGCTAATTAATCGGGGCATAGCACCAAAAACGAATAGCGTAAAAACTAGCCCGTTAAGTTCGGCGGTATCGTTTAGCGCTTTAACTGCTTTTTAAAACGTTAAATTTGGGTGGATATTAAAGCATTCCTTTTTAATTATTTCGTAAGCACGATAAAAAGGTTCGTAATACCTTTTAACTTTGCTTATTAATTAATAAGCTTTTATAAAAACTTAATAATAAATAATTCCAAAAAGCTTTGCTTCCGCTTGGAATTTATTCGCAACAAAGTTAATTTTTGCATTGTAAAATACCACGTTAAACGGGCTAAAATAAATGTTAAGCCAGCAACGCTTAAAAGCTTCCCAAATTTTTTTAGCTAATCCTTTTTTAAAAAAGGTTGCGGCGCTAAACGCGGTACTTGCATCGATTACATAAAGCATTTATTTATTGTTTAAATGCATAACGTTAACAATTATTTCGTAATTAAAATCGACGTTATTTTTAAGCATAAATTTAAAGCGTTGCGGGGTAAAGCTCGTAATTTAGCAATAATAGCATACCCAATTAATTATTTACAAAGCGTTGCAATTTGCCCGATAGCTTGCTTGGTTAAATATATGCCAAAAGCGCTTAATAAAAGGATAGCCAAATCGTTTGTGCAAACGTTTTAATTCGGCCTTTGTTAAAAAAGGCACTTTTGCGCTTTAAAAATTAATTAAATACGAAGCAATTGCCGTTGTATTGCTAATTTTATCGATAAAAAACCATAAATGGCTTAATTGTTTGGTAATTAATACGCGCTTGCCTTACTTGGTTACAAGCTCGTTGCGCGTATTATCGAAATAAACCCCCAATTTATCCATATCTTCCAAGCATATAAAAAAAAAGGTATGCATTAAAACCATATAAAAAGTAACCGATCCAACGGGGGTTTGCAAAATAATTTTGCTTAAGCTATATAAGGCGTTTTTTAAATTAAAGCGAATTTAATGTTTAGCTTTGCTAGTAACCATTTGGAAATTTGGCAAATAGCGTTGCAATATTCGAAATTGCGTAAAGCTAGCGGTTAAAACTTTTGCGGCTTTTATATCGGGCATAATACCGCACCATTTATTTTTGCTAAAAAGCACGTATTGCTTTAATATTTGCTTTTTATTGCTTTTATTTAATTAACATTAAAAGTAAGCGTGGATGCGGTAGCAAAAAGCTTTATTGGCAAGGAATCCTGCGGTAACAGCAATAAAAAATTATAACGAAAATTTTTTTTTTTTTATCGTTTAATTAATTGCTAAATTTTAACGTTAAATAAATTTGTAAATCGTTTGCGGGCGCTTTATCGTTTTTATTGCTACTTTTTCCTTTGTATTAAAAAAAAATTAAAATTTTTTTTTTTTAATCGCCGTACTTTTGGCGATTTTATTTCCAGCGTTTTTTTAAATTGCGTTGTTTTTTTAACGTATACCGCGTAAAGCGGCAACCAGGTTTGTTGCAAATCCAGCATTTATTGGTATTGCGGTTTTGGAAGCTATAAAAGCGTGGTTTCCCAGCGCTTTTCGTATTTTATTAATCGTTTTTAACGTTTTTTTCGAATCTGCGTTTAACAAAATAATTGCCGTATGCATTTGCATTTTTTTTCATTTGGAAAGTATTGCGCAATTAAAAAGCCAAGTTTTTAAACGTTTTTTTTAAACGTAAAAAAGCTATTTTAAGCTTGGGCACTTTTTAAATTGCACAAAAAGTATTTGTAATTAGCTAATGGTTTTGCTGGTAAACAAAGCCAAAAGCTTGCTAATAGGCTTAAAATTTGTTTAAAAGGATTTAAAGCATTTCCATTTTGTTTTTGCTTGCGTTTTCGCTTTTTAAACGAACGGTTTGGAATGTAATCGAATTTTAATCCGTATAATATTATTGCTTATTAATTTCCGTATTAAAATGCTTTTAAAGCTTAAAGTAAATTTTCTTAAAAAAATAACCTTTACCGATAATTTGGATAAAGTAAGCCTTGGTTTAACTTGTAAAGGCTATAAAAAAAATTGCGTATAGCTACAAAAAGGGAATGCTAAGCGCTTTACAAATATTTGCGAAAATTAAAACTTTATCGTTTAAAATGTCGTATTGTTTTTTTAAGTACTTGTATGCTTTGTTTTACATATTGCAAAAGGCTTTTAGCAAGTTCGAATCGAACGGTGCATTGGGCGTTTCCAGTAATAAAAGCATGCGGTACTAATTTGTTGTTTGGGGTGCCGGCTGGTATTGCAAAAAAACAAGGGTTAAAAAAGTTCCTTAAGGAATTAAAGTTAAAAAAATTGCTCGAAAAATTAGGGTTTGGCTTTTTGCTAAATCCTAAGCAATAAAGTATTCCTTAAAGATTTGGGGCCGGTCCTTTTAATTTGGTAAATTATAAAAATGGACTCCGTTTAATCGGTAAATCTTTTTTTTGGTAAAAAGCTAACCTTTGGTTTATTGCTTAAAGGGATTAAGGAAACGGTAATTTGGAAATGGCTATTTTTACTGGGGTACCGAAAAGTAAAGCCAGTTTTAAAACTGGGTTTTAATTTCGTGCTTGTCGCGTCCAAACTTTCGTATTCGTTCGCTTTAAAGATTTTTGGTTAACCGCTTTTCGGTAGCTTTTTCGTTGCAAGCCTTAGCTCGTGCCGAAATTTTTGCAAATAAGGATGCAATTTCCGGCGCTTTGCCTTTATTTTGGCAATTTAACGTTAAAGGTTTTGCTGCTTTTTTAAATGCCAGGTTTTGGGCGTTATTTATATCGGTTATTAGCAAGTCCAATTTTTTCGAACCCTTTAAATTTGCCTTGCCGGAAACGGTAATTTTTCGATTTATTAAAAATTTAACAAATACTTTTAAGGCTTTTTTATTAAAGTATTTTAAGCGTATTAAGCTTAAACCGTTAAAATCTTTAAAAAAAGCGGAAAGGAAGAATTTACCGCTATAATAGCGGTATTTAAGCATAAACTTAAGGATCCAAGCTTAAATTCGATCGTTAAAAGCGGTTTGGAATGCTTTTTTTAAGGTATAATTTGCTTATTAAAAAAGCTTTTCGTTACAAATGTTTATAAAATTTTAAAAAAAGCCCAAATCCTTAAATAACTTTGTAATTTCTTTTATAAAATAGGTCTTTTTTTAATCGGAATTATTTTTAGAAATTGCTTTTTGCGCTACAAACATTTTGTTAGTAATGCTTATTTAATCGTTAAAGCTTTATTAAAAAAATTCGTAATCGTTCCTTTGGTAAGTAAACGAGCAAATTCGCTTCGAATAATTTTCTAATTCAAAAGCTTACAAAAACTTAAAAATTAAAAATCCAATCCATTTCGGAAATTATACAACGTCTTTTCCTAAGCTCGTAAATTTTTTTTAATTGGTTTTAACCTAATTACTAAACAGCGCGGGCCAAAAAAGAAAGGGATTTACTTGCTTAGCAAATACGCTGTCGAACGGGGGAAAAGTATTCCTTTGCTCCTAAATTTTTCGTTAACTTTCTTTTCGATTAAAACAAATTTTAACGGGTAATTTAGCGCTAAATCCTTTACCTAACCGTTTTATATTGCCTTTCGAACAATATTAATTAATATTGATAAAAATCTGGTACTCCTATTTTAAAGCTCGGAAATTTCCTGGTAAAGGTAAACAATGATTTTAATAATTTAGGGAAAATCCTATTATTGTGCACACCGAAGAAAGAATTTATTTGCCAAAAAAAAGGCATAGGATTGCCCCTTATATGCGCAGGGACGATTACCCAAAGGGTGGTTCCCTGCTTTGCCTAAAGCAAATAAAGTTAGCCCGTGCGGGATCCGGAGGATCCCAAAGCTTTATGTAACAACCTCCCTTTCCGGATCGCACGCGCACCGCAATGCTGTTCCAACAAAGGAATTTATTAGCATTAGCTAGTTTTAGCAATAGCGATTTTGTTAAGGATAAAAATACTTTAAAATCGATTAATAAGTTTATTTTTACTTTAGCCGGAAATTTTATTAATTAAAAGTGTAAAAAAGCTAGCATTATAGCTTATAGCATTGTTAAAGCAAAAACCGACGGCTTAGCAAAAACCTTTCGGAAGGTAAAATGGTTAAAGTATTTATTTACAAAGTTACAATGCTTTGTAAACGGTTTTATAGCTATTTTCGGTAATAACACAAGCTTTATTGGCAATGCATATAACTTTACTTTACACTTTCGAATTAAGCATACGTTGCTAAAGTTTTATATTGTAAAGGAAAAGGTTACCGTTAGTACAATTACAATAAAGTATGTAAATATTAAAAATATGCTTGTTAATAACTTAATAAAGCCATTTACTTTTCCTAAACATAAGGTTTTTTTAAAGCTTATAAATTTATAACTTAAAGCTTAAAATTTTTTACTTTTACGTTAAAAGTTTATGGCGGTGCAAGTTAACGCACCAAGAAATAAAAACTATTTTTTTAATTTACTTATATACTTTTCCCGATTTTTCCTGCAATTAAAAAATTTTTAACTTGTAAAAAAGCAGCAAAAAAGAGGGAGTGTTAAAATTAACAAATTATGTAAGGTGCTACCTTGCACTTACCCTGCACTTACCCTGCACTTACCTTGCACTTACTTTGCACTTCCCCATGTTAATTAGCACAAGTTAAATTTGGAAGCCGAACGCGGAAATCGTTTTGGTGGCCGTGGGTCGATTTTTAAAAATCCCCATACAAAATAATATTGCGGAAAATCGCGCGCGGCACCGCAACCCCTTAAGGGTAAAAACCCGCAAAATCGATGTCGGTGGGTATATAAGGAAAGGCACTGAGTTGGCACCCTTTCCCTGGAATAGCACCTATTTTTAACAACTAATGTGGGCTTGTTAGCATTATATTATAGTGCTTAACAAGCTTAACCTTTGTAAACGTAACCCTATAAATTGCTGTAATCGTGCTGCAAAGCCCCAATTTGGACCCTGTAATTTAACAGTGCTATGCTGTTACAAATTATTCCTTTTTTAACCTCCCCCTTTTTCGTAATCCCCGGGACCTGTACATCCTCCTTAAAGCAAACCAACCGGAATAACCTTACACTTTGCTTATTTCTTTTGCGTGCAATATATTATTTAATTTAATTAACCAGCTTAAACACTTATACAAAATATCGCGCAAACCCATTAACTTTTTCGTAATTAGCTACAGTATTAATTACCGTTAAAAATTTATCATAATGCTAATAATGCAAAAAGTAATTTAGCTTGGTTACTTAATAAAAAATTCCTATTTATTTCCTTTTTAATTATTATATAGCACAAGCAACCGCACCTCGATTAACCTCCGCCGTAGCGCCTTTTCAAGGGCATTATGGTCCTCGAACGCGCCGTGCGCAATGCCTGAAACCGGCCTGTCGTAGCAGTTCGGATTTTCGCCGCCTCCGCCGCCGCCGCCGCCGCCGCCGCCTGCTGCAGCTGCGAATCGTAGTCGATAAACAGGATAGCCTCGTCCGGCGCGAGGTTGCTTATATAGTAGAACCCGTACCGCTCCTGCGGCTTGAGGGCCGTGAAGTGCGTCTTGTAGTTGCCGAGCGTGTACACCGGCCGCGTGTCCCGGCCGGCGCGCGTGTTGCTCGCGTCCACCAGGACGAGGGGCCACTGCCGGACCACGTCACCCACCGGCCGCCAGAGGTTGACGATGGCCTTGCGGCGTCTGGCAAGCCACTAGTCCGCCTCTTCGTCGCCCAGGACGCGGCAGAGGTTTACCTTGGCCGTGGCCTCGTCGTTGTCCATGTGAATGTTGGGCAGGGGCTTGCCGGAAAAATTGTAGGGGTCGTCGAGCTTCGTATCCTGGAATCACAGCATCAGTCAGATAACATTTTCTTTTTTTAAACAAAAATTAAGGACCAGCCGGCTTGGAAGCTGGAGAGTTAACCGCCCCGTACGACGCAGCAGAATCCTAACCTCCCGGATCTGTCGGTGCCGGTAGTTATAGGGCACGACCTTGGCGGTACTAGTCCTTTCCTTAACGATGGCGGCGCACTCGTCAAAGTATTCGGTCCGGACAAAGGCGGAAGCCCCGTCCGGGTCGGGCCCGAGCAGCCGGTCCTCGGACAGGCACGAGGGGGAGTAGAGCCACTCGACGCCCTCGTGCCCAAGCGTCGCAGGGGGCTCGAGGCCCCGGAGGTCGGTGACATCCACGATGCACTTGTGGCTGGCCCCGATGTTGGAGAGGTGCTCAAGACCCTTGGTGAAGTTGAGATGAGCCGGGAGCCCGTCCAGGGTCGCGCCCAGAAACCGAACCGTGCCCCTGGTCTTTGCCGGGGGAGCCCCTGGGGCGTGCTCAAACGGCCTGGAGCGCTTCCAGCTGACGGCAGCGGCGGACGCGACGGCCCGGATGGCTGGCCCGATGCAGTATTTTGACATCCTTGGCTGCATGAATGCGTACACGCTATCTCTTGGGTTGAAACAAACGTGATACAGTGATGGTTCATGGGCAGGCGCAGTTGGGGCAAGGAGAACTGCACGCGTTTGTCTATAATACGAAAATCCCAGGCGGTAAAGTGCGCTAGCAAGGACTTGGCGTTCTAAATAGCCCAGCTATGTGGTTACCCAGAGGATGGATCGTGGCATGGCCTTTCCAATCAGGCAACCCAGCGGACCGTGATCCCAGACAGGCTGACTTGTAACTCCGAGAGGTAACAGCGCCCCAAGCGCCATCCATTGAATTGCTGGGACTGGCCGGTGTGGTAACACAGCAGATGTAGGATTCGTCTGAGCGTATAGGTAGAGAGGTCGGGTCGTATACGCTAGATGCACGTTACCCGGACAGACCAATGGTCTTTGTGTCTCTCCCGCATCCCTAGTCACAGTGACAGGAGGCTATGGGACGTGAAACCTTGAGACGTTGGGGCGTGCCACCCGGGCACTGACCAGCGGTGGGGGCAAGGGAATGAGCTAGCCCAGGTGCCTCCAAGCTAAAGCTGGGCCCATACAGGAGACAGAGAAGCGATACACCTGAGGTCACGCTGGCGGGGATGTGAAGCCTCCTTTAGATGTACAAGTACTACATCTTCTGGCACCAAGATAACCCCCCAAGTACCACGACACATTCACTTACAACCTTTACTGCATGCGGCAGGCCGCGCTGGGAGCGAGCCGTCTGATGGCCATTCGCGCCGGGCTGAGCATCACGGCTGCTGAGGTGTGAAGAAGGAGACGGCTTCTTTGTGATTTTATTTGTCGAGAGCACACCGGGTTGGCAACCCCGCGCGCCAGCCCAAGGATGCCTTGAAGATGGACGTAGGCACCCGGGACGGAGCCGAAGCTCCATATCTCTTGAATGCGCATCTTGCACTGTCCCAAATACAGCCCCAGCGAGTCGTTTGGCGCCTATCCATTCCGGAGCTTGGAGTGTTCGTGTCCGTCCAAGTATAATAATGGAAAACACATACCAATATCAACCCCTGTCCGGCTCGGGTGTCAGGCTCTTCGCCTTGCTTCAAGGCCAATCGGACGATCCGTTGCGAGGGGAGATCCTCGACATCGATCTCTCCGACGCCTACTCCGCTGAGAACAGACAGCCATATGAGTCCTTGTTCTATGTCTGGGGGACTGACGACAGCCCCGACCCCGTCCGGATCGTTCTGGCTCTAGGGCGAGCCGGAGGCAGCCTTGTTGTCCGCCAGAACCTCGCAACTGCCTTGCAATATTTGCGGCATGAACACGCCACCCGATTTCTCTGGTGCGACATCATTTGCATCAACCAGCGAGACGTCGCCGAGCGTCAGCGGCAGGTCCAGCTCATGGCCCGTGTCTACCGGATGGCGAGGAGGGTCGTCATCTGGCTCGGCCCCGAAACCGGCACGAGCGCGCTCGGGATGCAGACACTCCGGCAGACGGGCCGTCATGTCCGGGCAGACCCCCGCACGAGGACTTGGTCCCCCGTCCCCGGGTCGTCCGACCCGCGCTTCACGTGGGCCGCGCTCCAGGAGGGCTACTCGCCCTACACCGAGGCCCAGCTGGGCGCCGTCCTCGAGCTGGTCTCGCGCGCCTGGTTCAGGCGACTGTGGACGCGCCGGGAGGTCACGCTGGCGCGCAACGCGGTCGTGGTGGCGGGCGCCGAGGAGATGTCGTGGCCGACCTTCCTAGCCGCCGTCTTCTACATGGACTCGCTCGTCCGGCTGCTGGGCCGCGGGGACGCGCGCCTGGCGAGCGCCCTGTTCAACGTCTACGAGCTGGGGTGCTTGGCTATGTACGAGAACGTGATGGAGGTCATGCACGCGTGTCGGTCCTGCGAGTGCACGCTCGGCGTCGACCGAGTGTACGGGCTCCTGGGCCTGCTCTCCTCGGGCCGCCTGTTTGACCTGCAGCCCGACTACGGCAAGGACCCGAAGATGGTGTACCACGACGCGGTCATCACGCTGTTCGCCAGCTCGGCCAGGACCGACTTCCTTGAGCTTTGCGAAGAAGTGAGCGCACCGTCCTGGGTTCCGGACCTGCACATGCTCGGCCTCGGGACTGGGCTCAACACGAGGGCTGTCCCTTACTGCCACGCTTCAGGGTCATCGGCCGGGCGGCTTGACCAGCTCGACGCGAACACTGTTGAGGTGGCGGGCGTGTACTGCGGGGCGCTGGGCAAGCCGGCCTCGCTTGTCCTGAACAAGGACGCCGAGGCGCGTCTGCTGAAGGATGCCATTGTGGACATAGTCAGGAGTCGAATGGGGGAGAACGTTGACCTTTGGGACCTTTCCAGGTTGGAGGGGCTCACCAAGGGTCTATCGGGTTGCTTATGGTCCGAACGCACCGGGAGAAATAATCACTCTTCGCTCGCGTTTTCCATGGCAGAGCTGGCAAAATGGGTACGTCAAGCACAACACGGGGAGGAAGACTCGGATCTCCTGGGCAGAGGCAACACTGGAATTATCTTCAAGCACATCACTCGGGTCCTCTTCCACGGGGACTCATGTAGATGGACTCAAGATGGATTTCTTGGTCTCGGATTCGGCGGCTGTCGTGAAGGGGACTTGCTGTATTCCATCCTAGGGTGCAGGCGGCTCATTGCCCTCCGCCGTGAGGCCAAATCGAACATGTACCGGGTCGTTGGCAAGTTTGACCACCCCAGACCAGATACAACGACGGAGGAGCGCTCTTGGGCGTGTTGGATCCCGGATGGAAGGTTACTTATCTTCACGGACTGGCCGCACTCAACCGTCCACGGGTCGAACATGCCGACGGAACCTCGCAGTGGGACGACCCCCGCCTTCGGGCAGTTTGCCTTCCCGAAGGTTGGTGTGAAGCGAGAGACTCACACGGGTGTCCGTCCTGGACCAGAGCGGATAAGGATACGGGGACACAATGCGACCCCCGACTTTCAGAGGAAGAATTGAGGAAAAGGGGTGTCAAAGTGGAGGCTCTCGTCATTGTATGAGAGAGGCTGCATCTGGAAGCGTCAGTCCTTGGACTTTTAAGGACTTCAGTATCTCATTGGTTCCTGGTTTGGGCTGCCGTAAGTAATTCTCACTCCTTTTGTCAATCGGTGTCAATTTGCCTCCCGCCTGTCAAGATCTGACCCATCATAACATTCGCCCAACCTTGCCTTGGCGGCATCTTTGATCGGCGGTCTCTTATGGGGGGTCAGGTCGTCGAAAACTCGTGGACATGGTCTAGTTGACTCCAGAGGCCACGACATTTCGCGGTATCCAAATCCCGCGTGCTCGCGAAGGAGAGTTGCTGACACATTTTTGTGAGAAGGGTCCGCGTGGACCCCGAAACCCGCCGCCCAGTGCCGGGGCTTGAAAGAGCTACTGCCTTTGGAATCCCGCGTGTGCATGCATGGTCGTGCGGGATTTGGATTCGCTGCCCCGCCCTGTTTAAACTCGCGATATCGCCCGCTGTTTGAGCAATCACCGCCGACGAGAGACCATAGTTGGAAACCCCGACACGGCCACCTGACAGCAAAGCCTGACAATAAAGCTCCGGTGAGCCAATCCTGGCCACGGCAGAGTAGGTATATAAGCACCTTGTCTCTTGATCTTTGGTGCATATCATCTCGTCACTTTTGATCTGCACGTCTTCACCCAAATAAATAACCAGCGTCTTCTCATATGCAGTTCTCAACACTCGCTGCAGTCTTCTTGCCCATTCTCAGCACAATGGCGGACGAATCGAGACCACCAGTGCCCCCCTTCACTATCGAAACTGCCAAGGTCAAGGTCAAGGCAGCGCAGGATGCGTGGAACACCAGGTACGATGCCGTCGCTTGCAGCCTGGATAACGACTCTCCCTGAACTAACAGTGGCTTTGACAGGAACCCGCAGCTTGTCAAGATGGCGTACACGCCCGATTCCATCTGGCGGAACCGGGGCACGTTTCTCAGGGGCAGGGACGAGATAGACGCCTTCCTCACAGACAAGTGGGCCGCCGAGGACGGCTATCGACTACGCAAGGAGCTGTTTGCCTTTACCGACAACAAGGTTCGCGCCGGCCTCTCGCCGTAACCCTTTGGATGAAATTTGTGTTGACCCCCCCCCCCCCCCCCATCCGCTTTTCGCAGATCGCCGTCCAGTTCTGGTACGAGTGGCACGACAAGGAGGGCCAGTGGTGGAGGACGTACGGGCTGGAGGACTGGACCTTTGCCGACAGCGGCCTGATGCGCAAGCGGCAGATGAGCGGCAACGATGTCAAGATTGCCGACGAGGAGCGTTGGTTCAAGGACGGCGTCGACGTGAACACGGTCGATATCAGCGAGAAGCACTGGTAAGGGCCGCCGCGGGGCGGAAAGGCTGAGTTCCGGGGAAGTGCGAGCTTAGTGGTCAGTCCGTCGGTCGACAACGCAGGGGCGGGCACCCCGTCCTCGCCTTTGCCAGGACAGCCTGTTTCTGGGAAGACTGGCACTACCATGGTCCAGGCAAAGAAGGTGTGCTTGGCGGTGCCCGCATCACAGAGTACCCCTGACGCTAGCGAGAGCGTTCAAAGAAGCAATTCAAACAGCCCATCTGTGTGCCAGGCACCAGTCCCTGGGATTGGGTCAGGCGGACGCTGTGGTGGTGAAGGTGCGTGGTCTTGAGAGCCGGGCGCTGGCGGGCTGCGGTCCTTTCATCTCCTCGGCTGGGTCGCCGGCGCTCGAACAAGCCCGCCGGCTTGTGTGGGCGCAAAGCCGTCATTCCTGTCATATCCAGAGCGAGCAAGGCGACGGGTGTCTGCGATTGGAGGTGCTCTGTGTCTGCCGTAGCACGCATCTTGGTCGCTTTGGCTTAGGTTGTTCTATTGGCTTGTCGACAGAATACGGCCAATGAAAAATTCTCCGTGGCACGGTGCTGGGTTTTTGCGCTAGGGGCTAGGGGTGCTTGTGCGCCCGCCTAGCGCATGTGCAGGCCTGTGGTCAGGGCGTTTCCGCATCTGAGGGACATGGAATTTGGGTCCCAATTGCCAGCGCACGGGAATGGCATTTGCTTTTCACCATTTCAGCCAACCCCATGCATCTCAGCCCTCCAGCTTTTCTCCCCCTCCCTCACCATGGACGCGCTAGACAATCTCGCTGGGACCTGCAGTGTCCTGTCTCACAGGTGGAAGCCCAAGATCGGAAGCTCGTCTTGGTGTTCCAGATCGGAAGCCGGCAAATAAGGGTGGCAGGTAGTGCATCGGCAACGAACACATCGGAACCGGCACTCTGGTCGATCTACCCTCTGAGCTACTATGCACGCGATCAACAAGCGAGGCCACTTTGCAATTCGATCGAGCATGCCACCTGCCGCTCGTGGCTGGGCACATCCGCGCCAGGAGCAAAGAGCCCCGGGGAGGAGAACAGGGAGGAACCCGGGAAGCAAAAGCTGGGCACAAGCTACGGAGAACGCCACGTCTCGATCGCGCTATTCGGGATCCGACAATAAGTAGCGTGTCCGGCGGGGGCCAGCCGGGGGAGGACAGCTAGGGGGGACCTGCCAGGCAAGGGAGGCCCGCTCTCGTGGGCTCGACCTCGGATGGCATGCACATCGATCGGCTCGACGCCCTTCAGAGTCAATGCCAGCCCATGGCAGGCAGGGCTTCCGGCCTGCCTCGGCGCTTGCTTCTTCCTCGAGGGCCGCAATAGCACGAGTGTGCTATGTATACCACCCATCTAACCTCAATGCCGTCGAGCTTCGCGTCCTCCGTTCCGGGTCTCTTCTCTCTTTCCTTTCCCCAACTAGCACGGCCGGGTGACGCCTCCGCTTCAGCTGCCCAGCCGTCGCCGCTAATGTCTTGCGGGAAGTCTCGCGGGCCTTTTCCACTTGGGGGCTAGCTGCGCTCTAGCTCACAAGCCGCGACTTGCTTCTCGCGCACCCCCTTGGGCCAATCAGCTCCGTCCCCTGGCCCGCCGCTTACCGTGCGCCGAGGAAGCAAAGCTTTCACTATTGCAGAGCACTCGCAGGCTAGCCCTTGGGCAGAGAGGGGGGCGAGAGCGGCGATGCTGCGGCTAGGCGATGCCAGTGGCAACCTCGGGCTGCGATGGTGACACAACCGGAGGGTCTTAGGGCAGCTCGGCTCTCTCGTGTGATGTTGAGGAGGAGGAGGAGGAGGAGGAGGTGCCCGAAGGGGGTGCGAGTGCCCAGGCTTGCTTGTGCAAGCCTCTGGTCTACCGCCGGTCTGGCCATCAGTGGCGGCCCCTTTGGCTGCCACGTCCCATCTCGTGCATCTCGGGAAGGGCACGAGGGGCCTGGGCCCTATTTCAACCCACCGACGTCCCCCATCTCCCCTTCCCCGGTGACCACGCGAGATCGCCACGCCTCGTGCCAGTCACGCTCGTTACCGCTGCAACTCTCTCGCTCACGTACACACCCGTTGGAGAAAACGAGCAAGGGCTCGCTCACGCCACACGTCTCCTTGATCGCCCTCAAACACCTGTTTTCGTCTCTTGCGATTATCGTTTCCAAATCTGTACCCCCTCCCTCCCACGTTGTTAACCGGCCGAGCTTCCACCACGATGGGTCTCCTCCCGCTCAACTACCGCCGGCCGCAGCTTGTCGTCAAGGAGGACAAGAGGCCAGCCAGCAGCTCAACCGCCGAGACAAGCACAACCCTGGGCGATGATGTGAAGGCAGGAGCCTCCATCAAGTCTGGCCAGTCGGGGCAAAGTGCAGGCATCCCGCCGGCACTGTCCTTTGACAAGATCATGGACGGGGGCACATGTCCGGTGAGTTTGGCCGCCCAGCGCGGTGAGAAACGTAGCCATCGAAGGACTTTTTTGCTGACTCCGGTGGAAACACATTGAACAAAAAAAAAACAGCCCTGCACCATCCGTGATTTTATGAACTACCTCATCTACATCGAGCGGGCGGCGGAGAACCTACAGTTCTTCCTGTGGTACCGCGACTACTCGGCCCGGTTCGCGGCCGCCCCCGCGACTGACAGGGCGCTGGCGCCTGAGTGGACGCAGGGCAAGGCCGAGGAGGTCGCCCAGCGGCTGCAGAGGGAGCACACGGAGAAGATGCGGCGCGAGCCCCAGGCGGCCAAGGAGTTGTTCAAGGGCACCTATTTTGAGAAGCAGGGCAGGGTCGACGAGGGCAGCAAGAAGGGGTCCGACTGGGGGACGCCCAACCCCGGCGCCGACGCCCAGTCGACCACGAGCGCGTCCAACGCCTCGAGCTACAAGGCGCAGGCCAAGGACGCGTTTGACCATGCCGGCGCGAAGCAGCCCTGTAAGTCTTCTTTGGTCGCACATTTTTTTTTTTCTCTTGTTTTCCCCTTGACCACCCACCCCTCCGGCTCGCTACACTACACTACACTTCATGTGCTGACCACCCATCCCCTCTCCCCAAGTCACCATCCAGCCGTTCCGCGAGGAGGTGGAGCGCGTGGTGGCGACGTACGTGGCCGAGGACGCGCCGCGGCAGCTGAACCTGTCGTCGCGCGAGCGCGCGGCGCTGCTGCAGGCCCTGGCGGCCACGACGCACCCCTCGGCCTTTGCGGGCGTCGCCCGCACCGTCGAGTGGTCGCTGCGCCGCCAGGCCCACCCAAACTTCATCCGCTGGTCCATCTGCAACGGCAACCCGGCCCGCATCGCCTTCGCCCGCGGCCTCGGCGCCTCCCTGGTCGCCGCCGGCCTCGCCGCCGGCGTCGTCCTGGCCCTCTCCCGCGCCCCGCGCGGCTGGCGCGCCATGGCCGCCATCGCCCTCGTGCTGGGCGTCTCCACCCTGGTCGCGGCCTACAAGGGCATGTGCGTCGTCCTACACGGCCTGCACCACCGCCACGTGCGCCCGTGGGAGCTGTTTGAGACGGAGGACCGCGACGTCGAGGAGGAAGGAGGGGAGGGTGAGAGTGGTGGCGGCGGCAACAACAACAACAACAACAACAACAACAACGGCAGCAGCAAGCTCTCGTTCGACTCGCTCGGCAGCTCAAACTGCTACGAGGACGAGCCGTGGGTGGTGCGCTACGAGAAACGCAACATCGTGCGCAAGGTCTTCGACCGTGAGGTCTGGATCCAGGAGCCCGCGCTGCGCCAGATCCAGGACACCATCTTCGTCCAGGCCCTGCTGGCCGCCGTGCTGGTCGCCGCCGTGCTCACGGCCGTCTTTGTCGCCGTCCCGGGCGGGGACTTTTTCTGAGGAGAGAGAGAGAGAGAGTGTGTGTGTGTGTAGGTAGTGGATGGGCACGGTGTTTGTCGGGCCATGGATTCAAAAGCCGGGCATCTCTGTCGTTTATACTTGCTCTAGTCTGTTTTTTGGTGATCCTCGCCTTCCCTCTTTTTCTTCTTTTTCTTCTTTTTCTTCTTTCATGTTTCTCTTCTACCTCCTCGGTCTTCTGTCTTCTCGGACATCTGTCTGCGCTCCTCTGTCAACGTCCCTTGCACGGAATACTACAGAAAGACCCCACATGTAGCCCATGCCATGGTCATGTAAATCTATCTACCAGCTTACGAGACTCTGCTGCTAATTGTGATTTGATTACACAGTCTATCTGGTTCTTATGTATAAACATCCTAAAAGAGACATGGTGCGTCGGGAATACGATGCGGCCAACTGCAACAGCTCACGTCTTGTATAAAGCAGGTTCGCCAGGTTTGAGACAGACTCTCAACAAAAAAATAGCAGCCCTTCAAGCAACAACCGTCTCATCGGCAGGCCGGGGCGGGGACGGCTCGCCCCTCTGGCGCATGCGGCGCTCGGCGCCCGTAGGGCGCAGCTCCTCGAAGCTGCCGCGGCGGCCCCAGTTGCGGGGCTGGCGCTTGAGGAAGGCGCCGACGGCGCCCAGGTAGCCCTCGTGGCGGAGGAAGTAGGCCTGGGACGCGCCCTTACTCCAGAAGCGGATGGCGTAGCTGAGCGTGTTCATGGTCTGCGGGTGGCCACGGATGAAGGAGCCGCCAAAGTATATGGCCGACAGGTTGTGGATCTGCGACTGCAGGTACGCGATCTGCCCGATGTTATTGCTGATGGCGTACAGGAGGGACCGGGACATGTCGGCCTTGGAGAAGCTGCCGCTGCCGCTGTTGTTGCTGCTGCTGCCGTTTGCGCCGGTACTACTCCTTTCATCGGGGGATGTAGTTGCTGCTCCTGTTTGTGCTGCTGCTGCTGCCGCCGCCGCCGCTTCTGCCGCCGCCACCCGCTCCCTCTCCAGTTCGCTCGAGCCGCCGCCGGCGTCCTCGGCGGCCGACTCGGCCTCGCGCTTCATGCGAAAGACCTTGCCAAAGGACGAGGCAATGGTGGAGCTCTTGAGCCCGATCTTGCCGTAGTCGGTGCCGTAGATGTCGCCGACCAGCATGTCGACGCGCGAGTTGTCGCCGCGCGAGGCCAGGTCCAGCATCTCGTCAAAGGTGGCGGCACCCGTGAGCAGCGAGAGCAGGCCCCAGAGCGTGCCGCCACCGAGCGAGGTGCCGCCCACGCGCTGGTACCGGCGGGGGCCCTCGACCTTGAGGAACGAGACGCCCGAGCCGATGTTGACGAGCAGGTACGGGTACAGGGAGCTGTCGTCGCCCTCGGCCGACGTCTCGCAGCAGCGCGCGCCGTCGTCGCCGGCGGCGGGGGCCACGAAGTGCATAGGCTCCGTCTCCGAGTAGGTGAAGACCTCGCGCGGGATCTCGGTGATGAAGAAGTCGAGGCCGATGATGAGGCACTCCATCTCGTCCTCGCGGTGGACGTCGACACCCAGGGCGTCGCGGATCTTGTCGTAGTACTTGTAGGCACCGCCGCCCGTGGCCATGACGCAGAGGCTGCCGGGCTTGGAGCCGTTGAGGGGCTGCTGCTTGTCGCGCAGGTGGCGCATAAAGGCGACGCAGTCGTCGATGCAGTCCGTCTCGAAGCTCGTGAAGTTGAGGCGGCCGCCCGGCTCCGTCGAGTCGGGCTCGCGCGAGAAGTAGACCAGCTTGGCGAGCGAGCCGCCGATGTCGATGGCGATGTGGCTGACCACTGCTGTGTGGTAGGGCAGGCGGATGCCCTGGGTCGGGTGGTGGTCGGGCGAGCCGGAGCGGCCCTCGGTGACGGCCGGGGTGGCGGGGGTGGCGGAGCCGTCATCGACGATGAAGGCGCCCTTGACGTTGATGCGGACGGCGCCGGGGTGGCTGATGGTGTCCTCTATCTCGGCCGTGGTGGTGGCCGTGCGAGGACGCGTGGGCCTGGGCATGGCCGAGGTGGAGGAGGTGACGGTGTCTGTGATCGCATCGCCGTTGACTGCGGGGTTGGAGGCTGTTGCTGTTGCTGTTGCTACTGCTGCAGGGACAGGGTGCGGTTGCTTGTCGTGTTGACTCCTGTTGCTGCTGCTGCTGCTGTCGCGCAATTCAGGGACGACGGGGCGGGCCGCTCCATCTCCAGACGACGGTGGTGGAGGTGGAGGTGGAGGTGGTGCTGTCGCTGCTACCATGTCTATGTCTGGCGTCATATTGACTCTGATGGGCGATTGAGGCTTCTGCTGGCGACTGCGGCTTCTGCTGGCTCGACTCCCAGACAGCTCAAATAGTCAATCAGGGCGGCATCCAGACCATGTCGCAGAGGCAAAAGGGGTGGTTGCCTCGTGCCCCGGTGATGCCCATTTTTCAGTCTTGTCGCCATTCTGACATGTACCGTGTATTTTTTCTCATGGTGCATTTTTTGTTCGGGCGGATCTCCTCAGTGTTGGGGGGATTGGATTTCGGTCCCAATGGATTCGGATTACGCTTCACAATCTCGGCTCGGGGGACGAACAAGGCCGACGCCAGGCCAGACCCCAGCACCAAGCAGTGCAGGCTCAAAAGCACGACCGTCACACGCCACGCGGCCGTGCTCTTGTGCTGATGCTGGCGATGTGCGATGGGCGCTAGGCAAGAGGGATGGCTCCCGTGGTCCGACGTGACGGGATTTGATGCACGCACAAGCCCAGCCTGCTCCCGTCAAGCGTCAAGCCACTGAGAAGCTGTTGAGGCCCCCTTGGCCGACGAGATCCACTTCGGCTGACACCTCTAAACTGAGACCCCTGCGGCAGCATGGTTACGTCACCTGCTGCACTGCCGAAGCTCTGTGCTGCCGTGGCTGCCAACCTGACCGAGAGATGGCTGAAGGACAGCCGCGAGGATCACAATTTGTGTTTCACTCGACGCAGATTACTGCATGTGGTGCTTATTCCTAACCCGCCAGCGGATTCTATAGAGACGACGGCCTAGAAAAAGCCTCGGAGAAAATCGTCCAGTCTCTGCGCCGGGCCGCCATAAAAACGCATGAGACGAACCTCTGGCAGCTGACGACGAGGAAACGGGCTCGTCCCAACCTCTAAGAAAGAACACGAGTACGCTTGACGACCACCTCTAGGCAAAACTAGGCAAAACTAGGCAAAATTATCTAACTCCAATCAGGCAAAAATGCCATGAGTACATGTGGCCCCAGCTCACCACCCATCTCCTCCCCTGGAAATCCAACGGAATGAACTCCAACGGAATCGCTCGTCGACACGAGATGTGGCTGAGCCAGCGTGCCTGGGTGACCATGCCTCCAAGGCTGTCCCAAAGAGGCATCGCACTCGGCGGCAGGAATGCTTAGTGATCCCGTGACCTGCGCGTGGCAAGAATGTAGCGGGAGGCGCTTGTCGAGATATGATACGGAAACGAGAGCATCCCAGTCGAGATTGTCCCATTGGAGAGCTTCGGGCTCTAGGAAAGCGGTCTCGGTAAGCTGCTGAGGCATCCACAGATACTCGACGCCCGCTTCGTAGCCCTTGTTTTGACCGGCCTCTGGACATCCGGCCGCAAGTCCAGTGGTGTATTCCTGAGCCTCTGAGCACCCATCAAACGTGTACCCGATAGCTTCCACAGGCGCTATCGGCATTGAGGCAGCGGGCAACCACGCGCACTCGGCAGAATATCCGCCCGGCTCGTCCCAAGCCGACCACTGACCTGTGGGCAAGAGCACAGGTGTCGGCGTGGCTAGCACCAAAGGTTCCGGCGTCGCGTTTGTGACCTCCCCTTCTGTGTCCATGTAGGTGGTGGCAGTCATGCTCGAGTCTGGGGATATGATGCTAGCAGCAGAAGTGTCGACTGGTGGAGCTGGCTCCGGCAAACAGTGCCGAGGGCTGGTGGCAGCCTGATTCTCCATGTCTGGTCGTTCCGGAGGAGAAGTGTCGACAAACTCGACAGTGTGCGAGTATTTATCTGTCTCAGAGACCTGGCTCTCTTCTTCTTTTTCTTCTTTGCAGGCCGTTTCCCCTGTGTCGAATGGGTCTCGGAGGCCTTCCCAGTACAAAACGAAGGCTACGGTTGGCCCAACGCGGGTCAGCTTCATGAAATCATGAACAGGGGAACGAGATCCAGCTGGGTATCCATACAGGCGTCACTGACCGAGAGAGGCGGAGAAGCAAACGCTCGAGAGGTGGCGATGGCGTTCGCGTTACCCGCTCTTTAAGCTCAGCAGTGATCTCTCGCCTGTTATGCCGAGTTCTTGCGGCTGTGGCCGCCTCCGTCGCCATGGGACATCCCAGCTCCAGGGTGACGCTATTTGAGGGGGACCGGCTGTTGCTGCGGGTGGGGGTGTCCTTTCGTTTCCTCTTGGTGCCGACCGAGGACGACTTGTCCTTGACGCTGTCCGCCATCACCCCGCGTCCTGCGCCTCGCGCTGCTGTGTTCAGAAACTGCCACTGGCACCCGAAGCTTCGTTCGTTTGGTATTTTGATAGATCGAGGGCTGTACGCGGGTCTTGTCTGGTCGTTTCGTCGTGGAGGGTGGGCTGCGAGACTATCTTGGGAGTCTGAGCAAGAGAAGGCAGAGTTTTATGACGAAGGTGAAGCACACCTGTGCGATCCGTCCAATTGCCAAGTACTAGCGATTCACAAGATATTCCGTGTTCGTGGCAGATCCCGGCGAGGGCTTTGGTCGATTCGAAAATAGAAGGAACAGGGGCTTATCTGGAAATTCCGGGGGCGATGGCGGACGGGAGGATCACCCAGATCGATCGCGCCATGGCGATTTGGCTCCGGGAGGGCTGAACATTCTTGGTGTGTCTCATCCCAACCGATTCGTGCCGCCAAGCAACACGCGCCAATGAGAAGGGGTGTTTTGGGGCGGATTGAGGGCAAAGAAAAGCAAAAGGCGGAACATGGTGCGGAGATGCCGAACCGGGGTGAGAGCCGAGAATCAAGGAAGACACAGGGTGACAGGATAAAACATAACTAAGATAGAATATTACGGCCCAGGTTTCACAGCTGGATGCGCTGAGGCGCATTAGACTGGTGCCACCTCAGCCGCAACCCTGAGTGATTATTGTGCTGGCTGGGGGGCAAGTCCTGGGTACCCTGATAGAAGAGACACCGCTTTTGTATTCGTCATGTGTTGCTGGTGTACCGTTCTTCCAAATCAGGTCGCTCGCATGTCGTAGCAGGTAATAGTAAATGTAATATGACAGATATAGGACCAGGAGGAGGAAGAGAACAAGAGGGAGGAGAGGAGATGGGTGGGGTCCCGTGTGTGGTATTGTAGGCTTGTTGTTTGCCAGCTGGAGGTGGCTACACATGCGCTACCTCTCTTCCTTGTCTTGGGGCTTGTCTGCCAGCGCCGGGCCGTCATTTTTCTTGAGGCGCGAGAGCACGCCCTCCATCCACTCCTGGACCTCCTTCTCCGACTCCTCGTCCGTCTTGCCGGCGGCCTCGCCCATGATGTGCTCCCTGGCCCGGCCGCGCAGCTCGTCGACCGACGAGATGTCGAACCCCCACGAGAGCCCGCCCGTCATCATGATGGCGAAGCTAAAGACGTTGAGCGTGGCGAGGCCGAGCGCCTGGGCGGCGATCATGCCGCCGTCGGCGTCCGGGTCCGTCGCAGGGCCGCCGGCGCCGTCCCGGGCCGCGGCCGTGGGCTTTTGGTAGGTGGACGGGTGGTAGAACTTTGGGGCGGCGGCGAGCTGCTTGCGCGCGACGGCGCGGCGCGTGACCGACGTCGACCAGAGGAGGAAGCCCGCGCCCGCGAAGAAGAGCCCCAGCTGCTTCAGCGACCGCGGCGACAGGGCCGAGTTGGCGGCGCGGTCCTGCTGCTGCAGCTCCCGCAGCTGGTCCTGCCGCCGCAGCCGCTCTAGCTGCGTCTTGGCGCTCGAACTCGCTGATGGTGCTGGGGGAGGAGGTGCTGTAGCGGCTGGCGGGGCCGGGTCCTTTGCGGGCTTGCTGGACGAGAACCACGAGAACATGGTGGGAGGCTCGCTCTCGGCGGCGTGGGGATTGTCGGGTGGGCTCGTTTGGGGGAAGGACGCCGATGCAGGGTGGCCGTGCTGGCTCTCTGGTGAGCGTCGTGTCGGTAGTTGAGAGCTTTCCAGGATGAAAATTCAAGATGCTCAATTCTTTCCCGCTCACAGCTCTCGACAAGCTCTCCGGCTGGCATCGTATGTCTCAATGGAGGTTTCTGCACTTGTTAGGTGCATAAAAGAGTGGGGGTTTTGTGCCGAACCGACGCGGGGAAGCTGCCGATGGCGCGAGTCATGCGATTACAGTAAGTGGATTTTGTGCACTGGACATCATGAGAGCCGAATAACAAAGTCTTCATAAAATCCATGCTAAAAATGGGCACAAGTCTTATGCGCTATGCAAGGAAATGAATAAAATAAAAAGAGTTGTCACGCCTTCTGGGTGTTACCCCTGAGACGACGCGCCTTCAGCAGAATGACCAGAGACTTTTTGATCCCAGGGAGCTGATGTGGATTCAGCTCAACGCGCCGATAAGTCGGCTGCCCGTCCATGACAAACGTCACGGCAAACTGCTCTAGGTCTTGATCAAACACTGACCGGATCTCGTTGCACCACTGCCGTCGGTCAGCCAGGCCTTTTTTCTTTGTTTTGGCTTTCTCTCTTCTGCCTGACGGGGCTAGCAGCACAGACATAAACACGCTGCGCAAGACACTCACCTCCTCGGCCTCGCTGGGCCAGACCATGCTGCAGATGGCGGCGAAGATGCGCCCGCACCACCGCAGGTGCGCCGCCCTCGCCCGCCGCCTGCCGATGGCGCCCGCCATGTGGCCGTTGTACTCGCGCTTGTCCACCGTCGGCTTCCAGCGGTCGATGACCTCGCGCACGTAGCCCATCAGGCTGACCAGGTCGGCCGCGAGGTCGTCGTCGGGGCGGTCCGTCGTCGCCGCCCATGTGGCCTCCTCTGGCATCAGCCGCGACTGCAAGTCCACCGCGGCCTCGAGCGCGCTGACCACGATGCGGGCCGACGTCTCGCATAGAGCCCTGACCGCCTGGATCTCCTTCCTGAACCGGTAATTCCTGTTGCCCTCGCGGACGTCGTCCCCGGGCGGCATGTGCTCAGGGCTGTGGTGGACGGCGAGCTCGGCTTCGATCTGACGTGGCTTGTCGTGGGCATCGACGTCGACGAACCGGTCCAGCAGCCAGGAGAGTGCCTCGAGCGCCTGCGCCCGGGTGGGCTCGCGCTTCTTCAGGTTTCCGTACTGGCTGTCGCATTCCTGGTAGATGAGTTTGCTTGTGAATGCTGCTTTTTCTTCCAGGGTGGTGAAGTTCATTTTCTAGCCCGGATATCGGCGGTAAAGGGAGGTAAAGCGAGCTGTCTAGAATACTAGAATACCCATGAATTACACCCAACAACCGCATCATTTATCCCATGTTTATTCCCCAGAGATTCAGACTCCCGGGGCTTGTTACGGCCCCACGTGTCCCTGCCACGCCAGACCCGAAAACTCGGTTCAAGGGAGCAAAAGTAGCGACCCTGGTGACGAGCTCGAGAAGTCGACGTTGGCCCGCCCTTGCATGTTGGCTGGTTGGTGGGCATGGCCAAACCATCAGACTGGTCTTTGGGCTGCCAATCGCCGGCCGCATGATGAACCATGGGGACTCAGCCGTCTCCACAGCACATGCAGCATGCCTAAACAGGCCCTGAACACGCCATCACCACAGGCGGGGGTCCCGGATCCACAGCGGTGGTCAGCACTGAACCCAGCCCAGCCGTGCTATTCCCAACCGATCGATCGGGAAAGTCTGAATTCTCCGCCTGAGACATCCGCCATCAGATCACTGTCACTGCCCAGCCAAGGCCACCAACCGACGACACCATTTTTGTTTTGGCAACGGCTGGGATCTTCTGAAAAGAACTGAAAAAAAACCAGACCATGGCAAAGGGCAACAAAGGCTCCGCCAAGGCAGCCACGAGCACCGCCCCTCCTCTTGCTGCTCCTGCTGCTGCTGCTCCCCCGCCCTCGTGGCCTCCCTTCGGGCCCGGCCTCCCTGTAGTCGACCCGCTGGCCTTCGAGGCGGTGGTGCCCGCCAAGGTCGTCGTGGCCCGCAGCTTCTTCCCCCGCTCGCTGTGCAGGGCCTACGTCGACTTCCTGGCCGGCCTGCCCCTGACCACCACCCCGGCCCGCCCCAAGAAGGGCGAGGCCGTGCGCCAGAACGACCGCTTCCAGGTCTACGACCCGGCCTTCGCCTTGCGCCTCTGGCGGGACACGGGCCTGAGGGAAGCGCTCTTGGGTCGGCTTGGTGAGAGCGAGGACGAAGGTGGCGACGGCGGCGGCGGTGGGCAGGAGCACGACGAGGTCCTCGACCCTCGTCTATGGTGAGACTGCAGGGCGACCTCGCCCACGTGCCCCCTTGCCCACACGCACCCGCAACCTCGCTGGTTACCGATCCCCCGGGACCGGAGGTGGTTGCAGGGCATATTTCGGCCCTTTTCCTTTCTTGGGATATCACTGCTTTTTTCCTTCCTTTTTCCTCTTTCTTTTGTTCACCCCTTGACGCCTCCTTGTGCTCTTCTAACCTAAAAATCCCTTGATCCAGGGGTGGAGAGGTCGTTGGTCTGAACCCCAACATCCGAGTCTACCGTTACACAAAGGGCCAGCACTTTGCGCCTCACTGTGGGTTCTCTCCCCTCCCATTTCCACCTTCAGTCCTCTGAACCCTGTCTCGCCTTCGAGGGAGGGGCTGGTGTGCGTGCCATATTTGAAGGCGGCCGTCCAATCGGAGCCCATCCGCAGACCCTGTATCCAGCCAAGATATGCCGGTGTTGGCCTGGACTCCTTTAGGGAAAGAACAAGCCCCGGCGATGGGATGAACCCTTCCGCCTGGGCCATGGGTAATCTAGTGGGGGCTTACACACACTGACCGATGCAACCCACCACCACCAACCAACCAAAAAAAAAATAGACGACGACTCCAACAACGTTACAGTCACGGCAGACGACGGCAAGACGGCCATCCCGGCCAAGACCACCTGGACCCTCCTGCTCTACCTCACCTCTGCGGCCGACGGCGGCTGCGCCGGGGGCGAAACCGTCTTCTACACCAGGGACCGCGTCTCGGCCAAGGAGGAGGTCGCCGTGGAGCCCGAGGCGGGCCTGCTGCTCCTGCACAAGCACGGCGACGACTGCATGCTGGTACGTTTCGTCCGTCGCGTCCTGCCGTGCTCCCTCCCTCCCTCCCCTCTGCGTCGTCGCGTCGCCCTCCAGCTGACGTCATGTTCTTTCTGCCTTCGCTAGCACGAAGGGCGCGAGGTCACGGCTGGCGAGAAGTGGGTCATCCGGAGCGATCTCTGCGTGAGGAAGTGAGACGGTGGGAGGGGAAAAGAAAGGACAACAGATAGTGCCCACCTATTATTAGTCTATATGTTTATGACCCCTCGAGTACCGTTGGGTGCCCGACTCCCCGGCTAGCCTTCCATCTCGGCCCAGCCAGTGAAAAGGTTTCCGTCCGGGCCGGAATGGATTCTAGCGACGTGTTCATATCTTGGCGGCCAGGCACCCAACGACACTCAAGCGCATGCACAGTTCCCAGGGATCGGAATTGTTGATGTTGTCATGTTTGTTTTGTTTTTGGATGTAGTGAAAGATATCCTCCCGTTCTTGAAATTGGCCTTATAGAAATGACCTTAACCTGACAAGCCTTGCCCGTACCGACTTTTAACCCATATTCCTGTTCTTATTTTTATTCCCGACCTAAGAACCCAATCTCGTTCTTCCTCCCCTTTCTGGTGCCCTGTTCCCAATCCTCCTCTTATTCCTGCTCTGGTTTCTAGTCTTATTCCTCCTCTTTCCCCTTTCATTTCTCATCCTTCCCTTTCTCCTTTCATCTCTGCTTTTTGCGGTTCCTGAGCTGGGCTGTTGCACAGCACTAACGGTCCTGGTCGTTGGGACGTGGATGGCCGATCCTCCAGCGACACGCTTTTACCTCCCAGCTCTGTTGGTCTCCCTTGCCCCGGGGCTTGGTGTATCCGAAGGACGAATCAAAGCGAGGAGGCGGGAGCAGCACTTCAATCACCCTTGGAAATGCAGCAATAGCAAAATTTCTACAATAGCTCTATGAAACGGGGGAAGCAGTGTTGGCGCCCGGGTATGCAACTATCCCCCTCCAACGGGACTTCAAGCCATCACGCGTGCCCCCTGGTATTTGATGTCCCCATCGACCAAGCAAACCAAGAGTAGCGCTCAAAGATCAGGATGTAAACAAAGCAAAGTGAAATCCGCTGTGCCCAATTTCCCACCACACCCTGCTGCTGGAGGGGTATATCCGATTGTCTATGTCGCTGCGTGGATCCAATGAATGCAAATCTGTGGAAAACGTAAAATATGCTAAAAAAAAAAGTCGTTAATCCGGAATCAATGCTCCATCTTCCATCCTAGACCGTAATCTGCAAAAAAAAGCTAGCTCCATCTGTATAACCCCAAGTATTGTCTCACAGGGTCGGGGCGTGGTGGATTCATGTGGCCTTCATGTGGCCGCGGCCTCGCTCCTTGCCGAATAGCCGAGAGACAGTAGGGAGGCGACAACACACATCAGGCTGGAAGGGGAGTGATGAGAGGGAGGAGGGGGGTTCGGCCAGTGGCGCCAGCTCACTCAGAACCAGTCTCGGCAAATATGCCGAGGCGGCTCAGCGCCGTCTTCCGCCTGACCACGACGACGTCCCGCTTGAAGTAGCGATCGTCCGTATCGTCCTGGTCGATGCTGGGCGTCGTGGCGTCCTTTACGGCGGAGTTGCCTTTCTGCTCCTGGGGCTGGGGCTGAGGCTGGGCCTGGACCCAAGTTGCAGTCGCCTCGACGGCCGCGGGTAGGCCGCCAACCGAGCCACGGCTAGGAACGACGCGCGCTTTCTCCCTGTCAAGGGCGGCACCATCGCCGCCGCCGCCGCCGCCACCGCCACCGCCACCGCCACCGCCCCGCCTACCACCAGTCGTCGCTGGCGCGTCATCATAGACGGTGGCGTCATCATCATCGTCGTAGTTCAGTCTGAATAAGCTGGTAGAGTGCCTGGGCCTGTCCGCGTCGACGTGGATCGCCCTGGGCGGCCTCGTCGGCCGCTTGAAGGGCGGGGCGGCAAGGCTCAGAAAATGGGGTCGCGCCGGGACCGGCTGGGTCGGGTTCTGGCCACCCCACGAGTGTCTGTTATCGTTGTTGACGTCGAGGTGGCGTGGCAGGTCTGCCCCCGTGGCGCCTGCACTGCCAACGCCGCTTCGCCCAGAAATGTCGCGGAGTGAAGCGAGGTCGTTCTCGGACGGCTCGGCCGGGGTATCCGCACCAGAGTCGGCCGGGGCGGCTTCGGCCAAGTCGACCAGGAGGGGCAGCTCGGCCTTCTCTTCTGATAGGTCGACTTGAGGCAGTTCGGTCTTCTCCTCTGATAGGTCAATCAGGGGCATGTCAACCGCAACCGCCTCGTCCCCTCCATCTTGCAAGGCCATAAAGTCCGGGTCGTGCTCCTCCATGTAGCCGTCCTCGTCCGCATGGAAGAGGTCGAGGATGACGCCGCGGTGGACCACGCGCCCGTCCCTGCACCGAACGTAGTCCATCTCCAAAATGTCCTTCTCGTCGAGGCCGTGGAGCCGGACGGAGAGCTCGACCTTCTTCAAGCCTCCGAAGTCGGCGGTGGCTGCGGTGGTGCCCGCGGTGGTGGTGGTGCCTGTACCGGCGCTGGCGTCGGCGGAGGGGGGCTTGTTGCCCACGCTGGTCGCGATCTCCGTCAGGACCGTGTCGAAGATCCAGGGGAAGGTGATGAGCGGCATCGACTTGGGGTTCGGCCGCGCGCCGCGGGACTTGCACTCGTGCAGCGCGATCCGGACCTCCTCGTCCGTGACCCTGTACATGGCGACGACGAAGGGGCCCATCACGTCGAGGTTGTGGCGCAGCAGGCTGGGCGGTATCTTGACGCCGCCGCCGCCCTTGGCGTCGTCGCCCTCGGCGAGCTCGGCCGCGGCCTCGATGCACTTTGTGCGGAAGAGCGACTTGAGGGTGGCGGACTCGCGGCCCACGTTCTCCTGGTGCTTGTACGCGTTGCCCACGCGCGGACGCGAGAGGACAAAGGAGGAAAAGACCTCGAACTCGGTCCCGATGTCGCCCTGGCCCATGATGCGCCTCATGGCCTGGTCGTACTTAGTCTTCATCTGGCGCGCCTTCCGCAAAGTGGCCGCGTCCAGCTTATACTTGTTGAGGATCCTGGAGTCGAACACCATCTCGTAGGCCGGGTCAAAGGTGGCCTGGTGCACCTTGTCGTAGAGCTTGCCGAGGATCCGGCCCGAGTGGTAGGTCCGGCGCGTGCTCTTCTCCATGAAGTGGGGGTACTGCTTGGGAATGAGGCCGCGCCGGACCACGGCCGGGATGCCCGTCTTGGGGTAGTCGACGGCCTGCGAGTGCAGCCTCGCCAGCTCGATGCAGACCTCGCTCTTGACGCCCAGGCAGTCGGCATGCGCCAGGTGCGCGTGCGCGATGGTGGGGAGCGAGTGGTTCTTCATGTGGAGGACAAAGAACCGCCGCAGGTCGTCGGCCGTGACGTCGCGGTCGGGGTCCAGGCTCTTCTCGGCCTCGTAGTTCATCGGCGGATAGCTGCGCTCCTCGGGCGGGGGCACCAGCCGCTCGTCCCAGATGATGAAGTAGTCGTCCCCGTCAAGATCGCCGCCCGAGCACATGCTGGGGATGTCCCTGTCGCCTGATTTGGGGAACACGACCACGTCCCTGAGATGCCGGAGCTCGGGCACGTCGACCGCCTCGACGATGCGGAGGTCTCCCGGGTGGAGCGAGGGGTTGCGCCCGACAACGCAGGTGCCGGTGACGACCTTGTAGAGTCCGTTGGGGCCGTCCGGGACCTGTAGGAAGATCTGCGGCAGTTCCGAGTGATTGAGCCGGGGCCGCTGGTCGGGGTGAGTCTTGACCCGGGCGTAGTGTCCGCGGAGCTTGCCCGTCTCGTCCACGCAGCCCAGCACGAAGGCGCCCTTCTCGACGACTATGCGGGCTTTTTCCTTTAGAGACTTTATCGACCATGTTCGCCAAAGCCGCAGCATTGTCCACACGAACGGCTCCTGGGATTTCATGAGTCCCGCCATGATAAGCTGCGAGAGCGCTTTCGTCATCTGATTCTCGTCCACGTAGAGGTTCAGCAGCGACATGGCCGCGACGGGGTCCTCCATGGCCTTGTCGTAGCTTGCAAGCTGATCCGCGAGCATGTCCTCGAACACATGGTCCTCGATGCCCAGCGCCGACAGAATGGGGATGGTCTGGCGGTTGAGCGTGGCGACAGCGTACTGGGAGCACCGGATGACTTCGAGGCGGCTGTGCTCTGTCTGGAACTTCTCCTGCGAGGGCCGAACATGGATATCCATGCCCTTGACGTCGGGCCACACGGTCAAGATACCCTTGCGACCGCCCATCCTGAACTGGAAGGCCGAGGGGTACGTGTTCAGGCTGAGCCTCTGGGAGATGCGGGTCGACCAAAACTGGGATATCTTGCCGACGCCATCCGAGAAGCAATATCCATTTTCTTCAATGTCTGGGATCGACTTGATCCACTGAACCGACGTACTGTCGATGTTGCGCGTGGTGGAAAAGCACTGCCCGAGCCGGGCCGCATACTTGCCGACGTTGCGGATGTGACGGAAGTCGCCCATCCAGGCCCGGATGCTGTCACACGTGACGTCGCCGACGGCAGCAAAGAAGTAGGCGCTGCTCTCCCGCATCTGCGAGTTTCCAAACGCCAGGAACTGATAGTGGCGGTCTCCAATAAAGATGCCGTTCCGCAGGACCCTGTAGACGCGCGTGTACAGCTCGTCGTTCACGCGCTGGTCCTGCGTGGCGTTGATGCGCCCGCGGTGCAGCTCGTCGGTGAACTGGATCCGCATGAACCGATCGCGGAAGTCATAGTAGTGCCTCAGAACACGGTTCGTGGTCTCGACAGTGGGCGAGTTGAGGTAGACGGTCGAGGGCGTGACGATGGCCTTGCGCATCAGAATGCAGTACTCCGGGAGCAGCTCTGGATGCACGTCTGGGGCGTATCTGGCTTCTCGGGCCTCTTGTAGCAGCAGCATCGGGTCATAGAACTTGACGCGACGGTCGATGGGATACTCGAGCACCATCCTGGCCTCGCGAGGTGTCATCTTCGACAGCTGTTGGAGGAACTCGAGCGTGATGCTGGACTCGAGGAGGTGGCGGCGAGAGATGCATACTTCAAGCTGATACCGGACCTCCCAAGGGAGATTGATCCGCTCCGAGTCACTGAGAATCTGCAGCATGTGTCCACCCTGGTCAAGCTCGGCCGGCCTGTCGAGATGCTTCCACATGACCACCGGGTCGTCTTGTGGTGCCGAGAACTGGAAATCGGTCTCGGGGTGCGTCTTAATGTTGAAGTCGCCCAGGTAGCCCTCGATGAGGCTCCACTCACCCTTGGGGAGCTCGATGCAGTACGTGGTCCAGCGGCCAAGGTCGATGACCTGGCGATGCTCCTCGTTGAGGCTGAGAGGGGTATCCCTCATCAGCCTCGGGTCGTCCATGATATTGCACTGACGCCACCACATGTCGTACTCGGTCCACAGCTTGCGCTCCTCGGTGTGGGTGTCCCGCTTGTTCTCAACCTCGCGGTAGAAGACGGGTGGATACTCGAGGGGAATGATGATGTTGCACATGTCATTTTCCTGGTCAACACGCAGGAGCTTGCTGATGTCACCGAAGCGCATATCGATCTTGTATTCGTGGAGGCGGCGGATGCTCGTGGTCCCCTCCTCCTCGTGGAGGGCAACCGAGAACTGAAGCGTGACACACCGGGCCTTGAAGTTGAACACAATCTTGAAGGGATTTCCGGCAGGCAGCGGTCGGATGGCTGTCCGGATCATCATCTTGTTCTTGGCAATCATGAGGCCGAACCTGATGGCCGCGGGGGCGAGCTTGACGTCGCCGGGCACCGCGCGGTTGAGCGGACTGGTAGTGGACTCTCCCTCGTAAAAGCCGTAGGGATTAATCTCGACCCTGACGGTGCAGACGGACCCCTTGCCCATGGGGATCCTCAGGAAGCCGTTGTCGGCCCAAGGCAGATTTCCGGGGTTGGGCGGCTCCATCCTGACCCGCGCCCTCCAACAGTCCCTATTCTCCGTGATGTCGATCATGATGAGGGTTGCCCGCGACTCCATCGCACGCCAGATATCCCAGGTCGTGATATCGCGAGGCAAGTTCATCAAGTTGATGGACATGGAGGTGTACAGCTTCCAGTTCTGGGGCGGCGGGCAGAGCCGCATGTTAGCCGAGCGGCGTGGCAGCGGCGGGCCGTTGCGCGGACCCGCAGGGCCAACCCGTCCCAAGGATACGGATGCCAGATCGGGCCCGCTACCCTGGGTGCGTGGGCTGGCATGGCCGGGCGTTGATGGAGTAGATGGGGATCCCCAAGCCCCACCGACCTGGCTGTGAGGCGTCTGAGGCAATGAAGTGCCACTACTACCGGAAGATCGAGACGAGGAGACAGGCGATGCCCGGCTAGGTAGAGAGCCCGCAGGAGACGGGAGAGGCCTGAGGTGGGGAGAAGCCGGAGAAGCTCGACCACGCCGCTCACTGGCCGAAGGGCCAAGGTATTGCTGATTGTTGTTGGCGGCCATGGTGCATAGGAAGTTCGGAGTCTAGGGCGGCAAAGTGACGGCCTCTAGTGGTCAACTTTGAGGGCGGGCTAGATATGAAGTTGGGTGTTGGAGACTGCCATGAGGGCCAGACAGAGACTGCAGGTGTGGCCTCTTGAGCGCAACGGGAATCGCGTGCGGAGGTGTGCGCGAAGCGAGAGGTGGGGTGAAGGCAAAAGGTAGGTATGAGGCAGGGCCTGCGCAGGAAAGTGTGAGACGCAAACAACAACCGAGAAACTTCAGTTGCTTGTTTGTCTTCGTGTTGGGTTGGGTTGGGCGGGGAGTGAGGCCTGGTGGTGGGATTGACTCGGCAACCCGCTTTGGCAGAAGCAAAAGCGCTAGATGCAGGAGGAAGGAGCGAACGAGTTTCTCGTTCAGGCAGAATATCTAGGTTGTATCGGCCGGGCAGTTGGTATGGAGATCGCAGGCGTTTTGAGGGTGGAAAAGGGACTAATTCGGTCTCCAGAGCTCTTTGTTTGCAGAGCGAGAGGCAGGGTAGAGAGGTTGTCGATTTTGATAAAGCACAGAACTGCGCGGGTTTGATACCCACTACGGCGGATTTGCGAACTCGCTCGACCACGTATTTTGTTGGGTGCTGCAGCTGTCCGGGGTTCTCAAAGCAGTCCGATAATCGCACACGGACGGCAAGAAAATGGTGCAGGCTTCACACTATGTCCGTGGCTGTTTGCGTGAAGTTATCCCAAGGCCACAAATCCCATTTTTGGTGCTGCTCGCTGATACTAGCTTACTTTCATGCTTTGATGCTTTTTTTTGACAGAATACCTAGATATGCTCGACCACCAACGCAAATCTTATTTCCCAAGACCCTGCCGGTCGAAAATCTTCCCAGGGTTCCTGATGGATAGCAATTGTTGTCGCATTAGCAGATATTCAGCAGTCGAGGGTTGCATGGCTCAGTCTGCACGGAGTGGGGACTCACATAATCCAGTTCGGGTCTATAGCAGACTTGATCGCTTTCTGGATGCAGGACAAGGAAATCGAGTTAGCTGACTCTCCCAAACGGGGGACGACACCCCAAACCCCGAGACCGGGACGGGAGCAAACATACCATGACACCCAGCGTGTCGGGCCCAACCTCCCACAGCAGCGACTCCTTCTTGCCCCAGCCGACAGAGTGCTCGCCTGTGCAGGTACCCTCCATCTCCAGCGCCCGCTTGACCATGTTCTTGACACACTTCTCCACCTTTTCCCGCTCCTCTGGGTCCTGACGGTTGTAGAGAATGCTCTCGTGGAAGTTGCCGTCGCCGATGTGGCCGAGGATGCTGGCGAAAAGGCCGAGGTCGTCCATCTCCTTCTTGCTGACTTCTATCAGGTCCGCCAGACGGCTGAAAGGAACAGCCACATCCGTGCTGACTGTAAAGAGGTACGTTGGGCAGGTCGTCAGTATTCGAGTCTCCTTGCATCAGCTCAGCTTCCTGGTGTTTTCACTCACAGACTTCTTCGCCGTCCTTGCGGAGGGCGAGCATGGACCAGAGGGATTCCTTGCGCGCCGACCACAGCAGCTTCTGCTCCTCTGCGTCCTTGGCGAACTCGAACTTGCCGCCCTCGTTGGCCTTGGCAATCTTTTGCACCATGTTGATGTTCTCCTTGACCCCAGCCTTGGTCCCCGAGAACTTGAAGAACAGCGTCGGCGTCTCTCGCCATATCCTAGGCGCCGTCGCTCCGCTCATGTTGACGACTTTCATCTGCACTTCGTCCATGATCTCCATGGCTGCCACGGGGACCCCTGCCTGCATCACGCCGGCCGCCGTTGCCGCCGCGTGGCGGATCGAGGGGAACGTCACCACTGCCACCGAGAAGTCTTCGGGGATGACGGCGAGCTTGAGCGTTGCTATTGCTTGTGTCAGTGTCGATATTAAGGGGGCCAAGAGAGAACGGGGCTACCGACCCTCAGTCACCAAGCCCAGCGTGCCCTCAGAGCCGACAAAAAGGCCATTGAGGTTGTAGCCTGCCGAGGACTTCCGCGGCCGGCGCCTGGTCTTGACGACGGTGCCGTCGGCCAGAACCACGGTCAGGTTGATGACCCAGTCCTTCATGGTGCCATACTTGACGGCGTTGGTGCCCGAGCAGTTGGTGCCGACCATACCGCCAATCTTGGCGCTCGGCCCTGGATCGATGGGGAAGAAAAGCCCGGCGCCCATCTTGAGCAGTTGTGCGTTTAGGTCCTGCCACCCGATGCTCGGCTGCACCACCACGTCCATGTCGTCCTTGTTGAACTGGATGACTTTGTCCATGTAGGCAAAGTCGACGCTGATTCCACCATAGGGTGCCGAGAAGTTACCTTCTAGGCTCGATCCGCCCGAGTAGGGGATGAGAGGCACCCGGTGCTGGTGGCAGATGCGTGCAATTGTCGACACGTGCTCAGTGCAGCGCGGGTAGGCCACTGCCACCGGGAGACCTTCGGGGTTGACAGAAGACCATTCCGAGTACCCATGGACATGGAGATCGTCCGGGTCTATCGAGATTATGTCGTCAAGCCCGATTTCGCGTTGGATCTCTTTTATGGCCTATATTTGAATCGTGAGTATCTGAGGCATGACGTGGAGCAGGAAAGCTACATGAGGTGTTGCGCCGACGGCAAGAGAGACATACCAGCTCCATAACAGGTAAGCTCGCGTACCGCGGGGTCGGGAACCTGTCGTCAAGCAGCAGGATAGGCCTGCTAGCCTGGGGAAACAGTGTCGGGGATAGGGCCGAGACGCCCCATCCTGTAAGCCCGGCGGCGATGGCAACAGCGAGAACCCGCTGGCTGGTCCATGATGTCGGGGCCGCAGCAGCAGTGGCCGTGGTCGTGGTGCCATTTCTGCCGTTGGAAACGTACCGCCTCGGCCGGGCAGCTCCGAAAGTCGGCCTGCTGCCCATGGCCGCTCGGCGGGAGGGCCCGGCGGCCCGCGCCCAAAGACTGGATGACATATTCAGGGGCACCAAGCCAGGGTATAAGTCGAGAGCGCAGACGCTACCCGTTGTGGGAAAAAAGGAACCGACGTGAGCCTTGTCGAAAAAAAAAGAACAAAGTGGCGCCTAGCAATTAATGTGTAAGCGTGAGACCAAAATTGGGTATAAAATTACAATCACAAGCGGGAAGGTCGAGGCAAGGCCAGCAGTGGCACAAAGAGTCCCGGGTTCCCCAGACGGCTCCGTTCAAAAAAATTCGGACGAACCGAGGGTTTTTTTTTTGATTGGCCTATGAAAAAAGAAGAGGGAAGAAGAGAAGGGCGGAGAGACAGGTAGAGATAGTTATGACTAGAGGCCCCAAAGAGATGACGAGAGAAGGGTGACGTGCTCACCAGGATGGGCCTGCCCCGGTTTAACAGCCAAGGGGGTCCGGTACTGTTCCGGGATCGGAAGGCGAGGCCGGCGGTCTCGACTGAGGCTCTCCGCCCCAACGCCCGACGACTTAGCGGGGCTTCCCTTGCCAGCTAGGGACAGATGACCCCCAAACGCCCGGGGTATGAAGGAAGGGGCAAGACAGGGTCTGGGGCGCAGAGCAGAGCGGAGCGTGGGCGGGATGCGGATACACCTTGTCGGTGGAGAGGACAGCCGTATGGGGGTCAGTGCCTACTGTTTATAAGTGGCCTAACGGCAGACAAAGATGGAGAAGAGCGAGAGAGGGCAGAGTGGAGATGATGAGGGGGGCTGGCAAGACGAAGTCGGCACAGACAATAACATGGTAAGAGGAGCGAGATATACATGACGGAAAGTCACAAGGGCGGGCGGGTGTTCTGTGCCGATCAGCTACTGGACTACTAGTACTGAGCGGTCTCCGTCTGGTACCCCAACATAGGTTCGGACGGACGCAGGGAGTGGTCACGTTGCCCATGGTGCGAGGCCGAAGTGGAGCAGTGCGAGGAGAGGGGAAGCACAAGAGCTGCCGGCACAAGACTAATGGCCACGGCGTTGTGTCCGACGGCTACTACGCGGCCATGTTAGCACCCAGCTGTGTCGTCATCTCCAAGGGGAGAGTGGGAGTCGGAGTCAGACTGATTTGCGAGAGAAGAAGGGGCGGCCTTGAACAAGGCGGAGACGCTGGCCAGATCCTCGACCAGACCTGCTGAGGGAATGGACCCAACTAGCGGAGACTGGGCAAGGGGTATGGGGCAGAGCCCTCCTAGCGGGCGAGCCACCTGGCTAGTGTGGGATGCACAAATATGGGGAGGCCGAAGCATTGCCAGGGGCTAGAAGGAATGGTATTGCTGGAAGGAGAAGGAGGACGGGCCAGGCCTGGGCCGCCGAGAACGGCTCAGGAACGGAGGCAAAGCTTCTCCTGGCCTTGCCAAGGGGAATTGACCAGACAAAACGTGGAATCCGGAACGCGGATTTGGCCGGTGAGGAACGTCGTTGCGCCCAACGAAAATAACGAAAATATTAGCGCCCACGTGAGACAAGGAAAAAGGAGAAGCCAAGGAGAGCAGATAATCTCTGTGGTAGTCGAGGAACGCGTCCAGAAAACATTGACGGCATTTGATTACCGATGCAGGTGGGGGGTAGAGCCAGAGACTGTCAGAGACTGCCGTTGGGGGATTGGGCTGACGCTTAGCGCGTCCAGTGCACAACAAACTCGCCGTGCCCGCCCTGGGCCTGGTGGAAACCCCCACTGATGGCGGTGCACGTGAGCCCATCCCAGAGTGGATTTTATTGAAAATCATGGGCGCCCATAAAGCTTCCAACGCTATGGTCCATCAAACACCCGACTCAGCTCGTCCATCCGAGATCTAGACTGCCCAGCAATTCCCAGTTCCTTTTGTCCTGCCGCCTCGACCCGGATTTGCGTGTGCATATGCGACAACCACACCCTCAAGCCAGCGAATGGGTGGGTGGGTACGTGACCACACCCATCCTTTTTGCTTCTTTTTTCGTAGTTGGCGTCCGCCCAAGTCTAGCATTGAAAAGTCCGTCCGATCCCTCCCCCTTCACGCCTGTTCACAGCATCCATGTTCTGCGAGGAGCGGCGGCCGGTACCCACCATGTCAGCCGGGCGGACTTGTGACGACGTCCCGTCCGGCAGTGACTTCCAAAGGCAAGATCCAGCGACCTTCAGGCACGGATGGAGCGGGATGGCCGCACTAGAACAAAAGATCTTCCGGAGAGCCCGAGTACCTGGCGCAGCTTGTCGCTCGCCGCCCCGCCGCCGTGCATGACTGGAGGCATGCGCCGGCAGGAGGCGGTCATCTCCCGAGCCCAAAAATGCGTCTTTAGGAGCACCCAGCGGAACAATGCATATATGAAATGTCGGGGGTGCACACTGCAGACAAAATGTGCTGTTGGGGCCTTTTGCCCGAGTTGCCTTGTCGGATTAGATCAATACCCGGCGCAGGGGGGCGGCACTCTTCCCAACACCTTCCAGGTTCTGCCCATCGGGCTTCCTGAACCTGCGCTCTCGCTCTCGCGTGTTCGTCTCTAGGCGACAGCTGCCCGATGACCGATGAGCACCACCGACCCGCCCGCCCGTTCGCTAGTTCGGCTGCAGCCCGCCGCCAGTTCTCCTCCGGAAAAACGTCCACCAGCGCTCACACGGCTGATCGCATGACCGGGCTCTAGTAGTGTCATGGCCAAGCCTCCGCCGCCTTCTACAGCTCGGGCGCCGAAACCACGGAGCACCAGCACCCACCACAAAAAGATGGCAGTTTTACAGCTGGAGGTCCCAGGAATTAGAATTTTCAATGCTATGAGCTTTCTTATTCCTGTTTTTCTTCTCCTCATTTTTATTCATGTTGTTATTCCTATCGTTATTCCTATTATTGCTACCACTCCCATTATTTTTGTTATTGTTGTTATTGTTGTTATCCTGCTTTTACTCCTATTCCCCCTCTTTCAGTCTCAGCAGCCTTTCTGCTGTTGAGGAGGAACTGCCGCCTTTTTACGCTGGGCGTGACCAGCTCCTACGCACTCGTCCCATACGTGCGGTGTGAGACCCTGGTTAGGAACAGGTCCCCCGCACTTGTGACCTTTCAATATGTAAGTTCTAGGTAAGTGCGGGGGTATACATATGCGATGCAGTGAGTAGCCCACGCGCGTTCGGGTATGGGCTTGACCCCCTCGACCTTGCTTTCAGCCCAGCCGCGGCTGGAACACGCGAGGCTCGATTTCCCGGCCACCCCGCCTCTGCTTGTACCTTCACTTGCGCCGCTGCGGCAAAGTGACCGATACTGGGTTGCATCCTGCCCCCCTGCTCCTGCTTCTTGCAGTTGTATGGCTTACGAAAGAGAATATGTACCCCTCGTGAGCGGCGTCCAGGGCCGATGTGCCCCGTCTTGACACCCAATGACCGTTGCTGGTAGGTACGTCGCCAGCGCGCTCGCTATCTTGGGGTCGATGGCTGGGACCTCGGCGTGCTGAAAGCCGCTGGGAATGTCATGCAGGATCTTGAAGCTTGGCTTTGTCTTATGGTTCATGTTGAAGACGACCACCTAGCCGTGAACTATTTACAAAGACTTAGTTTCTGGCCCCGAGAATACATGGCGTACGCGCAGCCTGCTGCACAGGATGGAGGAACAGACGACAAGCTGAATCTCAGGGTGCTTGCGCGGGCCTTGGCGAGAACAGATCCGTGATTCCTCGTCACTGGACACACCCGGTGGGCGCTGGAACCTGCCCTCCAGTTTAGGAGTGTGGGAAGGATGTAGGCTACGGAGTACAAGCAGGCATAAAATGTGGCTCGACGGCACCTATGCAGAGTGGTCGAAACCGATCGCCGAGCCGCGCTGTGCGTTGCATAACCCAAAGCGATTATCTGTATCCCTTTCGGGTTCTGGGAATCGCGTGGTCTTGTGCAACCCTCGTCCCACGGAAACTATTCGCCAAGGCGTGACTGCACGGGTATTCGACGGCTTTTTGTTCGTCCTCAAAAGTGCTTACAGACCCGTGACGAACGATAGAAATCAACTCCCGGCGCCGTAGCCGCTCAATTTGTATCACGAGACCTCCTTCGGCCAAGGGCCGCCATGATTACGACAAGGGCGATGGAGCCACACGGGAACGTGGTGGATGGGTGGGTAGATGGACGACATGGTAATGGATACCGGACAATCTAGAATCTAACATAGGGTTGTTATCCGCACGTCAGCGAGCCGTCACAAGACGACGGGCTGAGAGACGCAACCTGGAGGGGGATTAGATGTGATGGGCCGGTGATTGGACTCGACTATTGACGGGATCCACCACATCACGTCGCCCGTATGACAACGACTTGTGTGTACTTGCGCAGGGAGATGTAGGCAGTCCACGCCGAGTACCTATAAACTTTGCTCGCCTCCGTCTATCAACTCTCACGTCTGTAGAGAAATGCTGACTTGTAGCGAGCCACTCATAGCACAGCTGGAGGATCCTCTGCATCAGCGAGGCTTTCGTTTATGCGGTTTCTTGCGCGGCTCCTATGGGTATACCTGTTTTCGCCTCTCATTGCGCATCCACAACAGTCCCGCCTAAAACAAAAGGAGAAGAAAAGGTCGACATAACGAACTAAAAGCTGGTGTGGCAGACATTCCCAAGGTGGTGGGTGGTGTGGAGTGGCCAAATCGCGCATTTCCTCGCCCCAAGGACACCGAGGCCCCTAAACAGCGGGAGGATGAGACCGCCAACACCAGCACCCTCTCGAGATCAAGTTCATCCCGCAAATAGCCGCGGGCGACCCAACCCTTTTTCTTCTTTTGGGATTGGTCACCATCACGCTCCTTTATGATTCATACAGGGTTAAAGTCGGCGATAGGGGCCCTGGGGAGGGGAGGAGGGGGAGGAGAGCTCGCATCATCGCCCCTCAGCCCTCTTTCAGGCCTACCTACCCGCCCATAGAAGCCGGTGAGCAGGCCAGAGAGGGATTGGAAGCCTCCGGGTGGGTGGGGGATCTATGAGCCGCCGGGAAACAGAGCAAGTACTTTTCCTGCTGTTCCTCATCGTTGCTGCCCTGCATCCCCATATCCTTTCATGTACAGCGCTAGGCCGATCTACCGTAGAGCTGCGCGGAAATACGAGAATAGGACAAAATCGCCGATCCATGGCCACCCCCTTGGCTTGTTGTCTGCCGGCCTAGCTTCGCGGCAAGATGATCAGCATGCGTTTGTCAACGTGGGCGAGATCAAGGCTCAAGGAGGGTTCCCATCCCACGCGGGGGTCAGCGCGGGCAAATGGACAAGGGACATCACCGCTCCAGCCTTTTCTCTTTGCCGCGCCTCTCGTCTCGATAAACACCGCGCTGCCAGTGGCATTGCAGTAGATACTGTGCTCGTAGATGGCGACTGGCCGAGCGGTGCCCTTTCAAAGACGCTCTCACTTGCTGGAAGCAGACCAATCAACAAAACGGCGTTGACAAATGGACACACAATAGAACCCTGGGGCAGCGCTTCATTATACTGAGCCATTCGTCATATCCCCAACTCCACGAAGGGAGCATGGAAACCCTTACATCAAGTCTCAGACTAGCTAGATATGAGTGCCCTACGAAAGAAAGAAAAAAGCCGCATCCTGGACTCCGTACCGATGAATTCGTTCCCATGATTCTTTCTGTAAAGAAACCCCGTGTGATTTTTTGCCCAAATTTAACAAACCCACACGCAACACCAACCATCACTACCACCAACTCCTTAGTGGGCGATGGTGTGGGCGCGCCTGCGGTCACGCTCCTCAGCGATGGTGAGCTTGACACCCTTACCCTTGGGCAGCGAGATCCACGGCTTCTCAGTGCCGACGACGAAAACGTTGCTCTCACGGGTGGCGAAGGTGTTGTCGATGGCGTCCTTGAGGTGGACAATGTTGAAGCCGCCGTGGTGGCGCTCACGGTGGGTGATGACACCGATACGACCCATGTTGCGACCGCCGGTGACCATGGCCATGGCACCAGTGTCGAACTTGATGAAGTCGGTGATCTTGCCAGTGGCAAGGTCGATCTTGACGGTGTCGTTGACCTTGATCAGGGGGTCAGGGTAGCGGACGCTATGGCGGGGAAAGGCACTGTTAGCATCTCGAGGGGGATTTGAAGGGACATACCAGCCGTTTGCGTGTCGTCTCTCTTCCTCCACAAGTTCCACCACCCAACCGCGAGAAGAAAACAGACGGCACCACTTCTTTCTCCCGGGGGCGGGCTTCTGCTTGAAGCGGAAGAGGACTCAACCAAAGCTTGGTCCAACGGCTGATAGATGGTAGAACTCACGTCCTGGCATCATGCGTAACCAAGAATGGGATTCCGCCGCGGCCCAGCTGGACACGCTTGACCTTGCCGAGCTTGTACTCGGCCTCCTCGGCCTGGATGCGGTGGACGGTGAAGCGGCCCTTGGTGTCGTAGACGAGACGGAAGTTCTCGCCGGTCTTCTCGATCGAGATGACGTCCATGAAGCCGGTGGGGTAGGTGGCGTCGGTGCGGACCTTGGCATCGACCTTGACGAGGCGCTGCATCAGGATGGCCTTGGTCTCGCGGAAGTTGAGGGCGTACTTGAGGCGGTTGCGGAGGAAGACGACAAGCGGCAGGCACTCGCGCTGCTTGTGCGGACCGGGCGACGGCTTGGGCGCGTAGACACCGGACAGCTTGTCCAGCAGCCAGTGCGAGGGCGCGCTGAGGCGCTTCTGGTGCTTCTTCCTGTCCGTCGAAAAGTGGCCGCAGTCAGTATCATGATTGTGTGACGGGTGTTCCGCTAGCGGCAGGAAGCCCAGAGGACAAAGCAAAGCCAAATAGCGCAATAGAATGCACTGCCTTGCTTTCCCGAGAGACTTACGGTCCTCTACCCATTTTGACGGCTGTGTGATGTTGTGGTGGTTAGTTCAGAAAAATCGAGGCTGTCGCGAATGAAGAAAGTTCACAAAAAAAAAGCCAGGTCAAGTTGCAAGAAAGAGGTGCTCCTCAATTTGCGTTGTGAGCCCTAACGTGAAGCCCCGCCAGTGGCACGGACCATCCCACTGCCCTGCCCAGACTTGGCCCCACAGGAAGGAACGACCAGATCAGCTTAGGGTCACGTGACAGCTATGGATTGGTCTTAGCACGTGAATCGAGCACAGTCTTGGCTGGGCTGGGACCTCCACAAGGAGGTTGGGCCTCTGCTGTCAAACATGGCGTGAGTTTCATCAATGGCAGTAACAGACAGAATACGACTTCTTGTGAACAGCATGGTTGCGCTCGTAATGACCAGCTATAGGCCTGAGAGGTGGTATGTAGGTCCCTACCTCGCTATCTAGGTCGGCAGGTGGGCACTGAGGGGGGTGCAGTGAAAGTAGAGTAGAAAGGTCCTGATTTGCCGTGGAGATTGCTCTCTTTTCTAATATAAAATTCCGGTCTGATGATTAACCTCCTCGACCAGTCCGTACTCCATCCGAAGAGAGAGAAGAGTACAAAGAGAAAAAACAAAAAGCAAAACAATAACAGAAGGGCTCGAGCCCATGATTTTGTGCCTGTAACGACAGGAGTCCGCATCTAAAATCCCAATTCCAAAAATACCCCCAATTTAGGATCCACGCCATTGCGGCTCGCCCGGTATTCTAACCCGCTTGAAAGAAAAGACATGAAGAAAAAGAGAGAAGGAAACAAAGAAATGGAAGTAACATGACTGGCAGGGACAGTAACTCTCACTTCGCAGCGAGACTGGAATAAAAATGGCAAGGGTGACGCGAACAAGAAAAGGAAAGTGGCGATTGTGCGGCCAGGGGACTTGGGTGCCTGGCAGTGTGCGGCGGAGAGCACTTGCTGGGTTCCAAGCGTCGCATGTCCATGTAACCCGACGAATGAGACAGAGAGACCGAGGAGGAGGAATAGAGTGCGAAAAGAAGTTTCGAAAGCGCCAAAATTGGATGGGAATAAGCCGACGAACAGGTCGCCAGGTCATACCTGTTGGGCATCGGACAGAAGAAGACGTGAGATGTCCATCTCCCCAACATTGCCTTGATATGCAGAGGCGGGGTGGTCGTTGACGTCAAAGACATGCTGATGGGACGAGGCGGATGTCTCGGCCACAGGGTCGAGGGTCCACCTTTGGATGCTGTCCTTGGAAGAGGTACGGTTCAACTGGGGGTCCAGCGAGTTCTCGATTGTCATATTCACCGTGGGTTCCAGAACACCGACGGCACGGCTGGGCTCCTTGATCTGGATGCCGGCCTTTTCGATCTTGGCATAGATGTCGGGATATTTGTTCCGGACGCGGTCCCGGAGGTCGGTCGGTTGACGGCTCGACAGGTTGAAATTCTCGTCCCTCTGGATCCTCGTCCATGCGGGGCCGTACTGGCGGATGCCCTGCAGAATCTCTTGGTCGTCCTGCTCCGTAAAGGGTCTGCGCTCGCGACGGTGCGACTTTTTGAAGGGTCCGCGGATGCCCAACTCGACCAGGTCCTCAAGCTTCTTCCGGTGGGCGCGGCTTTTGCGAGGCTTGGGCGCCGCGTCGGCCTCGGGCATGAACCAGTTGGGCGACGCGGCGTTGCAGTCGGGCTCCTCATCACCGACAAGCAAGTTTTCCAGGTTTAACGTCCTCTTGGCGTTGGGGTTCGCGTCGCAAGCGCCAGCGGCCGATGGATCCGATGACGAACCAACGGCAGTAGACTTGTCGGAGTTGTTTCCCTTGTATGCAGTGGCCTTGACACCGATACTGCCATTGCTGCCCCTGAGTTCGTCGGGGCAACAAGTCCGGAAGCGGTCCTTGAGGTCTCCGGCGGTGCGGTCAACAAAATGAAAATCCGGGTCCTCCAGGATGCTGGTCCATTTGCCGACTCCGTGCCTGCTGACGCCGAGCAGGAGATGGTTCGTCTCGAGCTCGGTCCACTTTCGCCTTGGCTTCGTCCTCCGCCTCGTCTTCACGCTCGCGGTTGGCTTGTCATCGGTCGGGGTCGCAGGAGCAGCTCGCTCATCGGGTGCGCCGGTGAATTCTTTGAGTGGGTTGAGGCTCAAGGAATCTTGGGCGCCAAAGTCTACAGAGGAGATGGGCGGGAAGAAGGAGGCGTTGGGAGGAGGTTCGTGGAGGCCGTTGATGATGGGCGGCATGACCTGCTGGGCCGACTTTTGCTTTTTGAGGGGCTGTGGCAGCTGAACAAAGTCCTCCTTGACCGTCATGGCCCGGTGTCGCTTTTTCGTGGACGCATCTTCGAGAGGGAGTTCGGAGGGGGCAGCAGCCTCGTCGGCGAGGATCAGACGCAGCGAGTGGGACGGTTCGACATGACTGGAGTCCCCTAGAAGGGCGCGGATGGAGTTACTAGCACTCTTGATACGGGCCGAGCCATCGTATTCGTGAGTTGGACCTGGGGCCAACGGGACCGTCGTAGGTCTGCGAGGTGTGTCGTCGCCGACGAAAGATGCGAAAGAGGGGATCTGGTGGGAGGCGACGGAGGTCGAGGGGAGCTTCGAGGGTAGCTGTTCGGCGCGCTTGTCTAGCTCGAGGCCCAAAGACGGAAGGGAAACGGACTTCGAGTACGGGAGGGAATGCAGGGGCGGCAGCGCATTCGGAGGCAGGTAACCGCCCTTATTATCGCCGTTCAGCAAGTGTATCAGGCGTGGCTCGATGGTGGCCATCGTGGGAGACCGTAGCGGGCTCTGGCATTGGGGAAGCGAAAATAACAACAGGACGACGGGTGCATGAAACGACAAGGAAGGAGAAAAAACAAGGAGAGGAGAGGGGGCACCCTCGGGGAGAGGGAAACGGATGTGGCAAGCGTTAAAATGGGAGGGAACGAAAGAAAAAAAATAGAAGGCAAGGGAATAACGAGAAAGAAGTAGTTAGGATAACTCCCAGAGGAGCAGCCAGACAGCACACACGACTACGGCATGCAAAATCTAGCAGCAGCGGCGGCAGCAGCTCGCGAGACAATTTAGAAAAGGGGGAGCGAATGCAGTGCTCGGGGTGGTCATCACGAGGTAATGTAATGTATGTCGCTGCAACGTTTTGGCCAGTGCCCCTTTCGCGTCCAAATTTAGCTGTCTGGCCGCCCGTCGAGCTGGGTGCGCACCACGTCCTGTTAGGTGGCGATAAGGCGGCACAGGCTCTGCCCGCAGCGCGGGTCGCAGACGCAGGTACCGGACTGGGCGCTGGGCAGCGTGGCAGGTACCTGGAGAGCGGGGTTCCATCGGCACAGCGAGTGTAGCGGCCTATCGAGAGGCCTTGACCCACACCAGGTTTCAGTGCTGGGCTTGAGGTGCTGCGTGGCCTGTCCAATGACGGCCTGGGCAGGAAGCCTCAAGCGCGACAGAGCCGACCAATTCCGCCAGAGTTGATCCCACTGTCTCAGCCAAGATCCGAGAAGGCACCCCTACTAGACATGGAGGCTGCCCACCACGAGGGACGACTTGCCCGCGGATGTGGTCACGATGTGCGGTCAACCCCGTGTCCGCCATGCTCGTCTTGCCTTGTGAGGCCCGATGGCGATGGATGTGCGCTGAATGACATGGCACGGTTTTATGCATTGGAGAAAAGGCAGGTGGGTGGTGCATGCATCCAATCGGTTGGGATTTGTCTGAGCTGGGGTACATGTGGAGCGGAGCTACTCGCATGGTTTTTCTTGCCGTCAAGCTGCAACGTGAAGAGGCTAGGCACGGTCACCAAGTCCAAGGGAGGTACGAGGGTTCACCTCCGTCTTTGGATAACAAGAGAGGACAGAAAAAGAAAAAAAAAGAAAAACGAAATATAATAGGAGACAGGGTAGGGGTAGGATAGGAGGCAGAGCAGAAAAGGGATAGGAGAAGGAGGGAACAAGAACAGTCAGCGTTGTCGACAATGCATATTTTTATTTGCCCGCCGCGGCAGCCAACCCGCCCATTCAAATGCCCCAAGGCCCGAGGACCACCTCCGTGCTGCTGGCAGGCACGGATCGCAATCCGTGTGGGCCCAGTAGTAAAACCCGCCGTCCAACCATAGGTACCGGTAGCTTACCTCCCGACACTTCTTGTGCAGTCATTACATCTCGACGGGAGCGGATACGCACCTTGCCAGACTTGGACGTGGAGAAAGACTCACTCACTGCTAGGCCGGCGTCAATCACCCCCATTCATACATGAAAACGCTAGGTACACCTACCTAGAACCACACGCCCGACCATCGCACATGACCAACCAATCTGGTTGTTTTCTTTCAACTGACGACACCAACCACCCTCGGCTGCACCACTTCGCACCCCCTCAGCCACACACGCCCACCGTCATCCGGCAAAAATGGCATGCTCTTGGCTCCCACCCTTCCCGAGATTCGTCTTTACGGTCTTCGAGCCCATCAGCCTAGTGTAAGAGGACATTTCTTCAGCCCAGACGGTGGAGACAGCAGGTCACTCTAGTGGGCGTTACTAATTCCGCGACCAGCGCTGGCTGCGTCCCCGGGATCGTGGCCCCTGACTGGTTCATCGGGCAGCAGATGGCACAGCGTATGCCCGCACCGTCCTCGGAAAACTCCCAGTTGGTCGCCCAGCAGCTGGGCAACGCATTCGGCCTACTCGCCATGGCCGCCGTTGCAGTCCTCTACACCACCAGCGAGCCCAAGGTCGTCAGGAACTACCTGATCGCGCTCTGGATAGCCGACGTTGGTCATGTTTACCTAACCTGCCGCGGGCTCGGTAGTGACAGGCTCATGGATGTTGCTTCGTGGAACGGCATGACCTGGGGCAATGTGTTTGTGACAGTAAGATCCTCCTCACCCTTGTCCTCTCTTCGTTTTCTGCCGGGTGCCTCCGGCGGAGATGCAGCTAGAGTGCTAACTGGACGCAGGTCTTTCTATGCTTGACCAGAACGGCATACTTGCTAGGCTGGTTTGGGCCAGACAAGCCAGTGCTGAGCGGCGGCATTGCTGTCACTGAAGCCAAAGCCATGAAGAGCATATAGCAACGCTAGCTGCCTATGTCGAGCCTATACGGCTTACAAGCAGCAGGGCACCAGCGGCTTGTGTGCGCGGCAGCCATTTCGGTGCTTTTCTCGGGTTGGCTCATGAAGTGACTGCTTGCTGCTGAGGTCGAGCCCGTCTTCATTTCAACACATCACAGCCAACCCTCAAATCAAATAGGGGACCCCCGAGAGGGTGCCGGCCTCAAACTAACCTGTCCGTCCCACGAGGCGGCCACCGCGGGTGTGGGTGCACAGCGCCCATTTATCCCCGTGAGACGTGGTGGTCGCCTCGGTTAATACCAGCGGTGGTGGTTCCTTGAGGAGCTCGCCAAATTTGATTTTCACTCGGCCGCCAAAGACTCGACATCGGTTGGTGGGCTTGCGATTTTGTCGTGTTCATCTTGGTTCCTGTCTGAGACAACGCCTTGCATGTTCAAACCAGGGCCTGGCTTTTATCATCATGCTGCATTTCGGCTGCTGGGTGTAATTGGGCTTGAAAAAGCGCACGGTAAGTAAGCATTAGCTATCTTCCTAGGTACCCAGCTATGTTTTTTTTTTTTGTCGACTTGTTGCTACTGCTTTCTTCACGCTCTCTGTCTGTCTGGGAGGGCTATGAAAACACATTATCTAAGAAACGGTATGCTGCAGGCGGTCGGCCAGTCGCCCCGCCGCTTAGTATACAACTCCCCATCTTATCTTCTGTCGGGTCACCGAAACCTCGCGATGCCAGTCCTTTGGCGAAGTTGTGTGATACACGCCACCACCATGGATTTTTTTATCGCCCCAACACCCATGCGATTCAGAATGCCAGGCAACAATAACAATCAATATTATGAGCCCGCCCTCACTCGCAGCGGGCTACAAGCCCTCCAGCATTAGGCAATAGCATGCCCGACCTGACTCTGATAGGTTGGGCATGAATGCTGCATAATGGGGGCCTCTGGGCCGATTTTGCCCTACTGGGCCTGGCCTGGTCACCGCTACGACCTCACCTCCCCTTCCCGCCGCCGCATTTCTCTTTTCTCCCCGTCCTGATCTCTGCAAACCTCATGCGACGGAGGGCAAACCCTTGACATCCACTCGCATCTGTCTCTACGCAATTTTGCAGCATCGCGCCATCCTTTTTGCAGCGACCACGTATCAACAGCGACTCGACCAAGGCCACCTCCCCGCCTGAGCCCTTTCGCCCAATTGACGGCCGTTCCCACCCCAGGTTGGGCACCAGGGAGGGTACCCCGCCGACGAAAGGAGGGTGCCGTGCCCAAACGGCAGCAGCGAAACCGCCCCAACGAATTCGAGGCGACTGCGGGAGGGATGCCCGACGCGCTGCAGCCGCGGCAACGGTTCGAGGCGCTGAGGGCGAGCCTTTTCGGCCTCTCAGAGGCCTTGTTCGACAAGGCTCCATTCTCCCGCCAGGGCAGCACCGGCGGCTTCCGCGGCTCTGGCCCGGAGCTGGTCACCATCTCCCGCGGCCTTGGCTCGGCCGACCTGGTGCTCCGCCGATTTGAGGAGAGCTGGCACGGTCTGCGTGCCGAGGATCGGCAAATTCTCTGGGACGAGTGGGATGCCCTCTTGACCAAGATGCTGAGCAACGCTCGCCAGCCCTGCATGCTCTGCCACGTGGCCCCCGGCACCGATGCCACCAGCCATCCGTCCACCGGCCTGGACTGCGCTTCATGTGGCACCAGGGTTGCACTCTACGCAGAGGAGCTGGAGAGCTGCGCCAGCAGGCTTACTGAAACCCTGAAAAATCTCGCGCCCATCTCAACAGGGCCAGCCCCGCCGGTGTCCCCGGCCCCGACAGACGTCGCCTTGTCTTTCCCGGCGGTGGGCTCGGAAGTTGCCGACGCTAGAATAGCGGAGCTGGAAGCCAAGTTGCTCGAGGCTGAGAAGAAATGGATAACGGCGGAAAATAATTGTAAAGCGGCAGAGGACAAATGCAAAGCTGCCGAGGAAAAATGTACCGAAGCCCAGGAAAGGTATACGGCAGCCGAGGTCAGGTGGGCGGAAACCGAGGGCAACTGCAAGATTGCCGAAGCCAAATCTGCTGTCGCCGAGGCCAAATGCGTAGAATACAGCGAGACCTTGCAGCAGACGCAGAATGAGCTCGAGGCCGCCAATGCCGAGAAGACTAGTCAGGCCGAGGAGCTTGAGCATCTCCGCAAGGAGAGGGAAGATCTCCAGGCGAGCAACACGGTCTTCGAGGGCGACCTCAAGGTCGTCATGGAGATGGTCGAGCAGTTCGCCGAAGACCTGGACGTGCTCATGAGGTGGGGATCGGCCCAATTAGCGTACGCGCAGCTTGACCGGATGCTGTGCCGAGAGCTCGCTTGGCTTCCGGATACCCCCGAGACGGAGCAGCAACGCGGGGATCTGAAAGTCAAGTCGATGAGGTTCAGGCACAAGCAGTCGGTGGCTCTGATGAGGCTTGGTCGCCCCCAGGAGGCCGAAGACATGTGCCGAGAGGTCTATGAGGAAAAGGCAGCTCTCGAGGCCGGGACCTCCAAGGCTGTCGTGCGGAGCCTGCTCAAGGACTACTGCGACATTTTGGTTAAAAACGGCAAGTTTGACATCGCGGAACAGCAATACCAGCTCGTTCTGTGGACAGAACTGGGGCCCGGGACGACAGACCGCGAAGACGAAAAGGAGCGCTCCGTCATCTACTCTCGTCTCGGCGACATCAAGATGGAGCAAAAGAGATACGTGGATGCCGCGCGGCTGCACAAGGACGCGCTGGAGAAGGTCATGGAGCTGCTGCCGCTGGACGTGGACCAGGCAGCTGAGTGCGCCGTCAAGTGCCTGGGCTCGCAGCGGATGCAGGACGACTCCTTTGCCATTACGGACAACACCATCGGCAAGCATCTGGAGACCATATGGGTCTCGAGACAGCAGGGCTCCGAAAAGCGTGCGGTACTAGAGTGCGGGCATGAGCATGGCGTACGGCTGCTCAACGACGACAAGGACGAGGACGCGGCGACGGCCCTGTCGACGGTGTGGGAGCGCAGAAAGGCGCTCGGTGAGAGTTACAAGAGTGCCTCGATGGAGACGGCGCTCTGCCTTGTCGACGTCTCGGTCAAGATGGGCAACACCTTTCGGCTCGAGTCGCTGTACCACTGGATCACGCAGAACGCGACTGCGGAACAGGGAGAGGCGGACCGGCTGTGGGCGCGGTACCGACTGGGGTGCGTCCAGGCGATTCTAAGAAAAAACGCAGTGGCCGAGAACAACCTGCGGCGGGCGCTACGCAAGCAGCAGGAGGTGTTTGGCAAAGACGACCCGGACACCCTGCAGTACACCCAAGTGCTCGCCGAGGTGCTGCGGCGCTCAGACCATGGCGAGGACGCCATAGCGCTCGTCAGGGACGCGTGGGAGGCGAAGAAGCGATACCCGCGGGGCTCGTTGCTGGCGGTGCTGCGCATCGGTCACCTGTACGGCGACATCCTGTCCGAGTCCAACATGCCCAAGGACCTGGCGACGGCCGAGGCGGTGCTGCGCGAGGTGTGGGAGGACGTGCACCTGAACCTGTCGACCATGGCCATCTCGGCTTCGGAGCTGACGCCGTCGCAGCTCTCGGGGCTCGTGTCGGCGGGCGACTGCTACGCCTTCGTCATGCTGAAGCGCTCCAAGTTCGCCCAGGCCAAGGAGGTGCTGCAGCCGGTCCTGGACTGGAAGATGTGGCTCAAGGTCGAGGCGGCCGCGATCGAGCGCACCAAGTATCTGATCGGCAAGTCGAACGAGCTCGAGCTCAAGGAGGCCGAGAACAAGAAGATCAAGTACCAGCCAACGACGCCGCCGCACTACCACCCGCTGAGGCTGAGACACCTCCTCGACCGGTGGTTCAGCACTGGGACCGTCTCGGGTCTTATTTCGGACGCGTGAGATGCGATGTTTATATCAAATGATCTGCCCACGGGCAAGGCGCACAACCACGTATCCTAGAGAGGATCTCAACCGGCGAAACGAGTATGTTCCAGTCTCGCGGCGGCGGGGTATCCCCTTATATCCCCGCTGACAATGCCCAACGACGGCCTGCCTTGATAGGCCAATAGTTTTCGCATGCGTACAGACGGATGCATCCCACCCGCAGCGCCTAGACAGATAACGCAGCGGGGAGCCTTGACCAGAAATATGTACAGTATAGCCGTGCCTATCACAAGCCGCCGCCGCCCTTCCATGCACGGCGGATCCATACCGTCGCCCAACGAAAGCAACGAGGTGACATATACGATGGAAGGGAACGGCAGGCTGCTCGAGTTTGAACGATGGACCTTCCTCGCGTCTTGTTTTCACCACTTGTTTTTTCTCTCATGTCTCCTTTTCGGCACTCGGCCTCGGTAATCTCGCGTGCCATCTTTTTAACGGATCCCGATGCGATATTGTACTATAGGGAGGACATAGTCACTGCCTTGCAAGGTACATGGTAGATGAGGATGGGTTGGGTAGATGTTACATGCCCCATGGGCGCGTGTTGGCATGCGAGGTGCGAAGATAATGGTGCATATAATTGTGTCTAATCTAGTTATCGCGGCACGCTCGGTCGCGCGCTCCCATCTTGGGATTTAGATAATCTTTACGCTTATATAAAGAATAGAATATGGGACAGGAAAGAGGATAAAGAAATAGGAAATGTGATAGGAAAGAGGATAAAGAGAGAGGAAAAGATAGAAAGTAGGAAGAGAATATAGGAAAAGGGAAATAGGATCAGAAAAGAATAGGAAAGAGGGAGGAAAAATTTCCGTTCTGGCTGGAAAATCGAACCTCCAGCTCTGCCCCACCCTCCTCGAGCTCCTTCTAAACCTCCTCCTTTGCCACTTTGTTTAGTATCGTGCCCTATAGGACTGCCAACAGCGCCATCTCCACGTCTTCATGCAACAGAACACCCTTTTAGAGGCGAGATGTATTGCTCCGTTATCTCGAACCCTTGTTCGTCGTTGTTTGGAGGCTGGAGGGTCCGACGCCGACCGAGCCTGTCGAGGAACAGCCAAACGATGCGCCGCCCTGGCCGCCCTCGGCTGGCAGCTACTCTCTTCTGGGTGGTTGTCGAGGTCCGTCGCCGCCAAAAGCCCTGTTAGCGCCATGTCGTGCTCGCCGTGAGGCAGGGGCTTGGGGAGGTCCGCATGGCCGCGCACGGCGGTCTGGTGGAAACGCCAGGGAGAGGAAGCCACTCGCCCTGCCGCCACCGGCGACAGGACGACTGGGCGACGCACCACCCGCGGCGAGCCTTTGGACACGCGCCAGACGCGGCGGAAGGGGTCCGGGGCTGCCCGCAAGCCGGAACAGCAGGGGTTCCAGCGTCTCGGCGTCACGACTAGGAAAGTCGGCGGCGCGGGCCGTGTTAGCTTCCGAGGGATTCAGATAGTGCTTCTCACCCAAGCTACCAGCCACCGCCACCGCCACCCCTAGCGCAGCGCCTTTCCTCTCCTTGCCCGATGGTCGGCGACGAACCGGGCGACAAGCTTGATGGGGCGGCAGGCAGGTGCTCACCTTCCGAGAAGTGGCCAGCCATCATGTAGCGAGCCAGAGGTCGCGCCTTGAAGCCATCCGAGCCGGGACGGGGGATCAGCCAGGGAGCCCGGAAGGGTGGTGGACCTTCTGGTCAAATTGCCGAGGAGGTCCGGGTCGCTGATGCAGGAGTGGCGCCTTCGGATCCGCGCCAATGTCAAAACACCAGCCCGATGAAGAGCCTGCTGACAAGCCGCAAAAGGCACCGCCCGCGCCAGCGTGCGAATGACCACAGGGGCGACGAGGTTCCCGTGGACCACCTCGCCGGGCAGATGAAGGAGATTCATTGCCCCGTGGGCAATGAATCAGAGGCGGACACAGGCCTGCGCAAGGCCCCCCAGGATCTGTCAATAAACATGTAGGAAGGCTCGCGGGGGAAGCTCGTAGTCGATGTGCTTTTCAACTGGCCAGCCGTTCCACGCTACATCAAGCAGGGTCAATGGGGGTAGCGTTGGCTGCTAGCTCAAGCTGCGCATACAAGTGGTAGGCCGTGAGGTTGCCAAATCCCTTGTTAGCAGTTGCGCCTGGGCTGTGCATAGCTGCACGCAGCGTGGTCCACGATCCCGAACGGGAGGAGCATATCTCTCAAGGTGCCTACATAGGTACCTTTGTCGGGGGCACCGCCAGGCGATGTATGCTTGCCATCCTCTTCCAAGCCACCCAGGCATTGTCGAGGGCTCGGAGCCACCAATCCTGGCGTTTGTGCAATTTTAATATGCAGTTTTTTTTCCAGCTGCCAAGTGCCAATGCCTATCCAACGAGAAGCGGGCGTCTGGCTGACCTGCTTCCCGCTAGATCATGTCTTGTCGATGTCTATTGGTCGCCTGACTGGAAAATGCCGCCATCGCCCTGTTTCCCTCTTCCATTCGAGTTCTACATTGATGCCCGAAGCTATACCATAACCCCCACCTTCCAACCTCCTTCTTACTCCTCTTCTTCTCCTAGACTTCTTCGCTTTATGTCAACGCTTGTGGTCATCTCTTTGCGGTCGTTGCCAAGCAAGATTGTACCGTTGCCAAGCTCGCATTGTCCGTTTTGAGGGTCAATCCTCCATGTCAATCAGATGTCCGGCGCGGAAATCATTGGCGTTATTGCAGGCGCCATTGGCATATTGACAGCCGCCCGCGACGCATACGACTCTATTCAGGATATCCGTGGCCTCCCCGAGACCTTCCGTCAGATTCCGCCCAAGGTTGACCTCGCGGTCGCTACCCTTGATCAAATCCATCGGAGCGGCTGCTCCGGCTCCGGTGCCGAGCTCAATACTGTCGCCACCCTCGCCAACCAATGCTCCAAAAACGCGGACAGGCTCGGTCTTGTCCTGCGGAAACTGAACCTCGACGAGTCGACCCCCTTCCCTGAGCGATACGTCTCCATCATCCAAGGCTGGGGCAAAAAGGGCCGAGTCGAGGACCTCTTGAAGAACATCATGGAGGATGTCATGCTGCTGGCCAACCACCAGATGGTTGCCGCCACCAGCCAGGGGCAGATTCGCAAGCTGGAGCAGGCTGTTGAAGATCTGGACAAAGTCGATCCATCAGTACCAGATCACATGCTGGAGGGAAGGACGGATGTCTACGTCGGGGGTACCGGGGCGCAGAACAACCAGATCCACCACACCACCAACACATACTCCGGCTCCAGTTCGAGCTATGCCATTAGCGGGCCTGGCCAGAACTTCGGCAATCTTGCTGGAGCTACGCTGAACTTCGGGACAGGCAAGTAGCACAACATTCTAGTACTGGATCCCCTCCGGAGGAAAGGATTTTGCCGTTGTGGCAGCAGAATATTGTGAAAATAAAGCACTATTACATGTACATAACCAGATGTTTTATAACCTCGACGTTGCCTTTAAAAGTAAAGAGGGAAAAAGAGGCCGTAAAGAGGAAAGAGGAAAGAGGAAGGAAAAGGGAAATGGAACCTGAGTCCGATTTTTTATATATTGCTAACGATGTTATTACATAACTAGCAGCAACAGAGGAAACTCTAGATAGCCGATGCCGTGCCGCTCTGAGGTCCCGGTCGACAGATCCAAGGCACGATAAAGCCCGAATCGAGAAAAACAAAGATGGCGTTCTGGACAGCGCCTTCCAATGGGTTCTTCATAACCCGGAATTCCAGCGGTGGCGTTCAGAGCTGGACATGCGCTTGCTCTGGGTTAAAGGGGATCCTGGAAAAGGCAAGACAATGCTGCTCTGCGGCATCATCAACGAGCTGGAGGGGACTAGAGACAGCCGCCCACTTGCCTACTTCTTCTGCCAGGCAGCGGACCCACGCATCAACACCGGAACAGCAGTCCTGCTCGGCCTCATGTACTTTTTGGTCGATGTTCGCCGCGGCCTTCTCAAGTATCTCCGACGCAGCTACGATGACGCCAAGGAGGCTCTCTTCCAGGGCCCCAATCTCTGGATTGCGCTTGAAGGGGTTCTTTTTGAGATGCTCCAGGATCCAGCACTGGAAGACGCACTTATTATTATCGACGCCCTCGATGAGTGCCAAACGGAGCGCCATCCTCTGCTGGACTTCATATCCAAAGCAACAGTCACCTGCCCCCGGGTCAAGTGGATCGTTTCCAGCCGCAACTGGCCAGATATAGAGGAGCGTTTGCGGCCCGCAGAACAGGCCACCAGGCTTTCGCTCGAGATCAACGAGGACGCCGTTTCTGCAGCAGTCAACGCCTTCATCCATCACAGGGTAGAGGATTTGGCTAAGTCCAAGGGCTTGGACGACGGAACTTCTGCCGAAATCGAGAATTACCTTTCTTCCAATGCCCACGGCACATTTCTCTGGGTGGCCTTGGTGTGCCAGGCACTGTCCAGCATCGACTTCCCTGATCTCATCAAGGAACACCTGACATGCTTTCCTCCGGGGCTTGAAGGTCTCTATCACCGGATGCTGGAACAGATCTCGAGCTCGACAGAGGCTAGTATGTACCGGGACCTCCTAGCCCTAAATCTGGTGGCCTACAGACCCTTGTCTGTCCACGAACTATCATCAGTCGCACCAAAGATCTGGACGATAGCTAGTGATGCGGGAGGACTAGCGAAGATGCTTCAACTCTGTGGTTCGCTCCTCATGATCAGAGACAATGCCATTTTCTGGGTGCATCAATCTGCCCGGGACTATCTCCTCAAGCACCCTGACTTCTCCACTCCATCATCGGTGGAGCAGGCACATCGCCGCATCTATCAGTCATCACTCGGGGCCATGTCAACAACCCTAAAGCGCGACATCTATGGCATGATCCAACAACACGGACGCCTAGCATACGGCCTCTCTGTTGACCGTCTCGAGCAGCAACGCCCCAAGCCTGACCCTCTGGCTGGTGTGGGCTATTCTTGCATTTATTGGGCCGATCATCTTCGGGACTCTCGATCAACTGCGAACTTTGATGATCGCGGAGATGGTTGTCACTTGCGGCAATTCCTCGAGACCCATTTCATGCATTGGCTCGAGGCGCTAAGTCTCTTGAGGAGCATTCACAAGGGAGTTCTCTCCATGAATTCTTTGACGAAACTTGCTCAGGTGAGATCGCGGAACTTCTCTTTTCGAGATGTTGGCTGCCTGGCTGGTTAGAGCTAACAGTCTTCATATAGGGCAAACGAATGACTGCCTCGCCAGATGTCCCCTCTCAGCGCAAGAGCGTTACTGCTGTTCTTGATAAGGCTCGCTCTAGAGTACTGAGCTACATTACACCCACCACTTTACGAGAACAGCCCACCACTTCACGAGAACAGCCCACACTCGCCGACCTTATTCGTGACATGTGGCGATTTCTCCTCACATTCAAGTTGCCACTCGAGCAGTGCCCACTGCAAGGCTACATCTCAGGACCTGTCTTGAGCCCCACAGAAAGCATTACCAGATCCCTCTTTCTCAAAGACCGCCCGAGCTGGCTTACGGAGAAGTTGGCCTTGCGGAAAACCTGGAACAACTGCCTGCAGACACTGGAAGGCCAACGTGGAAAGCTCCAACTCGTAACATTCTCGTCAGATGGCCAGCGACTAGCATCCGCGGCATTCTCGTCCGTGGCATTCCCATCCGCAACATTCTCATCCGCGACATTCTCATCCGGCAACATCAACGTATGGGACGTGGCTTCCGGCAAAAAACTCATCACCCTAGACTTGGACAACAATGAGAATTATCCCCCTGCAGTGGCCTTCTCCCCAGACGGCTGTTGCCTTGCAGCAACGTATTACAGCCCAATCACAGTTTGGGATATTATCACTGGCAAAACGCTGCTGGAGCTGAACGATGGTTTGGGCGACTTGTCACGCGATGAATTGGCCCGGTTGCGTTCATTTGAGAGACCAGTCATATTTTCTACGAACGGCCGCAATCTTCTATCGGTCTCAGTAAGGGGGGAGGTTAAAACCTGGGCCCTTGCTACGGGTGAGGAGATTGGAATGTTTACGTGCAGCGAGAACGAACTGATCAGGTCAGCCGTCTTTTCTCATGATGGCTCTTGGCTCGCCACGGGACTTATTGGTGGTCAATTCTGCGTGTGGGATGTTGTCGAAGGGTCCAAGATCAAAAGCATTTCATGCAGAGAACTGGGCATTTCACACGTACTGGGCTTGAGTTTCTCTCATGATCGCAAGCATCTTGTTGTCGCAGGGGGGAGAAAAGCCTTCGTCTACAGCTTCACCACAGAGAAGCTAAAGCACTTCCGCCTGCGGTCATTCACTTTCAGCCCGCGTGAGCTTGCATTGTCACCGTGTGGCTTGCGGCTGGCTATGACGGTGCCTGGTTACAACATTTCCATATACAGGCTTGACAAGAACACACACGAACTACTTACCCCTCACGCGGAGTTGCATGGCTTATCTTCAGTTGTCTTCTCGCCAGATGGCCGTCAGCTGGCCACAGGACAAATGGGATGTGTTCGCCTGTGGGATACGCCAACCGATTACTCCCAAGCCGAAGCCATACCGACCCCCGCAATCTATGGCATCACGTTCTCGAACAATCTCCCACGGGCAGCTACTATCGGCGAACGAGGACGAAGCATCACTGTTCACGATCTGCATCTCGGTACAGCATCCAAGATTCGGTGCAAATCCACCAATGAGGTGTCACTATCCTCAGATGGGCAGATGATGGCGATAGCACACAAAACGCACACTACCATCTGGAGCCAAGAGAATGGGCGATGGGTAGCCCAGAGAACATACCGGTTTCCCACTGGATTGGACCTCATAATTACATTTTCGCCAGATACACGACAGCTTGCACATCTTACTACTTATATCAGCAACATGTCACGCCACGTTCTGCGACTACTGAATGTGGAAACGGGCCAATGCGATAAGATCTCTGAAAATGTCGAGATACATGGCCACAAGGCTGTTGTATTTACTGAAAACAGCCGGAAAGTCGCAGTTATCGAACGAAATGATGACGGAGCTACCCGCATAAGACTGTGGGATCCACTGACGGGTGGTCTTTTGATTGAGGAAAGGCCAGCACCTGCGGACATTGGAATACATCGGGTGTCCACATTAGCTGAACGTGGGGGGAAGTTCACCATGCAGGGGGGGCCGAAGGGTGCGTACGACATCAGCGAGGACGGATGCTGGATCACTATGGGAGGGGCCAGACTGCTTTGGCTCCCTCCGTTTTGCCGACCGTTCGATTATGGGAATGGCAAACGCTGGATGATGACATGTCAATCAGCGGTCGCTTTCGCATCAGAACTTGGATCCTTTTTCTTTTTCGAATTTGGCGAGGAGGAGGGATGATACCTGTCTTCAGGTGGCGGGGCTGGTTGGTAGCCTCTGGTGGCCGTCTGCTTTGTCTGCTGTTTTCGTGTTAGACTTTTTAGGGTCCGCGGGGTTCTGTAATTCCTGCTCTTCTCCTCAACTTCCCAATAACCAGAGCGTGGCTTCTATATGCGTCGAGGGGTGACTGAAGCTTAGTGATGGGGTGCCACGCAACAAAATGGCCAACATGCATCGCCCTTATTCCTACGCTGATCGCTCTACCATATATCCTTTCACCGGTCATCGATGTGCTAGATAATCCCTTTCGGAATCACCAAGCTATATCTTGTCCGTAAGCTGTACTGTGACCCATGACCTTCGGAATCTCTTTGCTGTTGCTATAGCTGCCAAGAGCAGGACTCGTTTTACAGCGGCCTCATATTCTCGCCGGCTAATCCCAGCCCCAACACAAACTGCTATTGCTCAAGACGTGTGCAGTTTACATCCATCGCCCAATCCGCGCCAAGGGCTGGCGGCCCTCGTGTATCTTATCCGAGGGAGCGACCGCACTCATAAGAGCACAAACAGAAAATATGAAACGCTACGACAGAGAAGGCGTCCCCGGCGAGCTCCAGTCCCACCGAGGGTGACTTTTATGGGCGGCAAGTCATAGGAAAGGGATTATTGTGAGACATGTGCGCCTCGGGGAGCAAAGTGGGGACCAAGAACTCGCCCGTCTGTGGGACGTGATCAACATCTGTGTTGTTGCTACAATCCTCCGCAAGTCATGGGCTGTCTTGCTTGTAGATTATGTTACGAATAATCTCGGCGGGTAACACCATCGTATTGGTGGCCGCGCTAGAATCGGCGCTGCCTATTCTGACTGGGCCCGCCAGCACGGTATCGGGAGTTCGGCTAGGGTAAGCTATCAGACAGCAGTTGAGGCAGTGGGAAGAATTTACATTATCGTCGCTCAACCCTTGCCGCCAGATTCCCTGGCCTCCTCCAGCCACAAGCGCTGTTACCCAGGAGCCTAAAGCGTCATCATGGCCCGAGTATCACTTCATCCCCGACGCCGAATCGCTCTATCGCTATGCTCCTGGGGGCTACCACCCGGTCTTTATAGGGGACATCCTGGGGTCAAGATATCTCGTTGTCCATAAGCTGGGCTATGGGGGCTTTTCCACCTTTTGGCTTTGCAGAAACGAGGAATTGCAGACTTATGTTGCCCTGAAAATCGGTACCGCCGACTCCGACTCTATTGATTACAACATGCTGGACTTTAAAATCATCCGTCCTCGAGGAATGACGAGCCGGGCCGGGCCATGATCCCCAAGACGCTCGATCAGTTCGCGATCGAGAGCCCCAACGGACGTTACGTGTGCACAGCTACCAGTCCGGCCTTGTGCGACATCGGAACTATAATGTAGTCCATAAGGAGGCGCCGTTTCTAATCGGTACTGCTCGCTCGCTCACCGCTCGGCCCTTCCTAGCCCTCAACTACATCCACCCCAAAAAAAGGTATACACGGAGACCTCCACCTTAAGAACCTGCTATGCCCGATAACCAACGAGCTGGACCGGCTCACGGTGGACGAGCTTTACGCCGAGCACCCATTGATTCCTACAGAGCCCGTCGTGAGGCTTGACGGGCAGCCGCTGCCCCCCCCCCC